TCTAAATTGTAGCACTATGTAACACCCACAATATGTTTCAGCTTCAGGCAAAGAATGGTTTCGAGAAAACAGGTACAGTGAGGTGCTTATTTACAGGTTCCGGTCCTTTACAGGAACATGGAAAGAGCAAGAGCCCAAATAAAACAGAGCTCTGAGAGCAACAGTACAGAGAAAGCACCACGGGAACAGGTAAAGAGTAACAGCAGAGCATAAAAAGTGGGATCACTTGTAGGAATAAGGGAGGAGGGCAGAGCACAATAGGAGCAGACAACACATTCTGCTGCACTCTGTCTCTCTAATTCCCTCTTTTTCTCCTTTCGTTCAACGTGTCCAACACCTCTCTCTCATCTCCTTCTCTGACCTTTTCCATACCCTCAACTGCCTGGGTAAAGTATGCTCTGAATTCCCTTAGCCTGAATACAGCCACTTGGTGCTGGCATTCTGGGTGATATCTAATTGAGTTAACTGGGTCTCACCCAGCTGTTGGAAAGCAATAGACCAGCGTCACCACTGGTAGGAACAGTCTATGGTACATAGTGAACAGCAGGTGGAGATCCCCGGGATTGAGGACCCTGGGAGCAGACGCTCCACCTACTAGCCGACCAGTCAGCAATTTGAGGCTGAGAGCTGTATTGAAGGGCAATGTCTTCCAGAGAGCTGCTACCAATGTAACTATCCAAAGCCCACACCTCATTCTAATTTTGAGGGCTTTGATCAGGTAGAGTCCTTTAAACAAGGAAAACACCCCATCCCACAGGGACTGCAAGCAACCTCATATAGGTTTGTTTGCCTTGTTACCCCCCCCACACCACCCACCAACCATCACCGCATTCAGTACCAGCAACAACTGGATAAGGCCCTTCTGGGGGATCAATTGGCCAATTAAGGGCCTCAGTTGGTAGTGGGCTGAGAAGCTCATCCATGGTCGGTCTCAATGGAGACTGAGTTGAGATGGACATGGGAAAGTGGCAGGGACCCCACCTCCCACCACCAAAGGGGAGAGCTTATATTCCACACTGTGTGGAATAGCACAAGGTAACAGCAAGCTTAAAAGAAAGTAAACAATCTATCAATCAGAATATAAGCAGCAAAAATGGAGCAAAACAAGTCACAATAAGTTTCAGAAAATACAGTCAAACCAGACAGCGTGCTCCTGACAGAAGTGAACAGCGTTTCAACAAAAACCACTACAGGAATCTGGGAACAGATGCTACAAAATAGCTTTGATATATATGTAAGTTTTATATTCAAATATAGAATACATTCCTATCAACTGTAGTGTCCACAAGTCAGTTTTACTTTGAACAAATAAAAGCAACCTATTGCGGATCACGGAAATCTGAAATAGACCAAAAGTGCTGAATAAACATAGCAGCGTTTGTGGAGAGAGAAAAGGCATCAATGTTTCAAGGCCAGAATTACTATTCTCCAAACTGGAAAGGAGAAATACCGGACACAAAACGGTAACTCTTTCTCTCTCTACTGACACTGCCAGACCTGCTGAGTTTCTCCAACAATTTCTATGTCTGTCACTTTGAACAAGTTTTGTTTGTTTATTTATGAAAATCTTCAATGGAGCTGAATATGAACATTTGAAAAGTACACTTCGAGGTTTCCAAGATATACAAAGATGACTTTCAGTTCAACATGATTTTTGAAAGCTCATGAAATATAAATTTAAGTTACAATGACTACAATTACAATATAACAGAAAGAAATTCACAATCCATGATTTAAATTGTAAACTTAAACATTAACATTTAATTTTTCCTTATTTTTCAAAAAAGTATTTTCTATTTTCCAAAATCCAAAAGACTTGTGCACAGATTGCTTTTCTCAATTCAAAGCTGCTTAATTATAATTAATTATTCATTTGAAATGAGATTGTCCTTATAATTTTTTTCAGCTCTGCTTTATTAAATTTGCTTAATTTCTACTCGTAGATTATTTTTTAGCAAAAAATTCTTTAAATTATCGGAAGTAGGTTTAACTCCCTCCTTTCCTACCCTGTTTAGTAGCAGAATGTGAGGAGCTCTCAACCTACATCTTTCAAAGAAAGTGAACGTTTATGTGTTCAGTAGAGAAAATTGTGAGTTGGAAAAATTGCCAAGGCATGCAAATAGCTACACCATTTCTAAGCAATGACTGACCATCACAGACTGTGCCATAGTTTGTATCACCTTATATGTGTTGATTACTAATGTATGTAACAGGTTTCAAACAAAATGTAGTTCAAACACTGTTGCAAATATAATTGTAAGTCTTTTTTCTACACAATAAAATGTTCCTATTTCTTGCCATTATTGATAATCAATGAAATACCATCGCCAATTTCCTTTAAGCTTTTTATGGTCATATAGTAACATCATATAGTAACTCAATTAATACATGAAAGTATATCAGATTGAGCAGAAGTTTTGGCTTTACCTTATGGACAACCAGATACAACTATATCCAAACTGAAAGTTCCTACATTATGATTGTGGCCTTGTGACATAATGATTTTGGGTTTGTTAATTGCCTTTATTTCTTTTGGTTCTCATACTGATAGATAAAAGAACTAACATTATAAAATAATGTTTTTTAGTTTAACAGGTTAATGGATGGCACAAAAGCTAGCAGTTCTTAAACAATAAGCTCCAAAAATAAGTCCATGCCGAGCATAATCCCAAACTAATCTAGTTCCACCTACCTGCTTCTGGCCCATATCCACCTAAACATTGTGCTTGCCAAATTTAATCTGTGCTACAAGTTCATTTACTTTGTTTCGCATCCTGCATACATTTAAATACTATACCTTCAGTCCTGCATTGACTGTCCCCTTCTCATAGTTGTCACTTTACCTGCTGTGCATGATGTTAGATTTCTGACCCTTTCCATACGCTCTGTCCTGTTACTGGTTCTGAAAATTTCAACCTCTGCTGAGCCTTCCCCACCTTTAACTTTTTTACCATAATTTTCCATGAAACTGAACCCACACTCCCAGTATTTAGTTTAAAGCCTATCCACAGTTCTATTAATGCAATTCACCAGGTCCCAACATGATTCAGGTCAAGCCCATCCCATCTGAACAGCTTTTTCTTTCCCAGTACTGCTGCCAATGTCTCATGAATTTGAACCTATTTTTCCCACACCAATCTTTGAGCCAAACATCATCTCTTTAATCTTGTTGATCCTGTGCCAATTAGCTTGTGGTTCAGATAGTAATCCAGAGATTACCACCTTTTTGGTTCTGCTTTTTAATTGGCCCCTTGTTGCCACTCATACTCTCTCAGCAGAATATCTTTCCTCTTTCTATCTATATCATGGACCATGAAAACTGAATCTTTTCTCTCCCACTCCAAGTTCCTCTGCAGCCCAGAAGAGATATCGTGAACCTGGGTGTCAGTCAGGCAACACAACCTTCAGGACTCTTGATCCTGGCAATAGAGAATAGTGTCTATTCCCTACTGTACTATCCCAATTATCAGTACATTTCTCTTTCTCCCCTCTCTTGATGGCTCCCTGTACCACAGTGCTATGGTCAGTTTGATCATCCTCACTACAGCCCAACTCTCATCCATACGCAAAGGAAGAATGTTAAACCTGTCTGACTAGCTCAAGGGCTGAGTCTCCTTCAGCACTACCTTGTGGATCCCTCTACTTGACTTACTCACACCCTACTGTTCCTGACCACTGACTGAATTTAAGGTAGTTAATCTAAGGGCTGTGACTGCCTCCTGAAACACAGCGTCCAGGTAACTCTCCCCCTCATCGATAGTTGCAGTGTTCGAACTCAGACCACTAATCATCAACCCTGAGTTGGAGTTCCTCAAGCAACAGACATCTGCAACTGATGGGGTCACTAAGAACTACAATAGGGTTCACCAGCTCCTACGTCATACAGGTACAACACATTGCCTGGCCTAGCATCTCTATTGCAATTACTTCGTTCTTAATTTGATTTTTAAAAATTTTGTACTGGTCGTTTAGTTAATAGCTGTACATACTTACCCTATTTACTTCAATCTGAAAGTAACCTGTAAAGATAGTCAATTAGTAGCTATCACCAACCAATGAATTTATGGTTTATTTGTGTCACTCTTTCGTGCTGGGTCCCTCATCCTGGGCCTCAACTTATCCTGTTAAAAAAAATCCTTACAAACAATGAGCTCAAAAAAATAAACAAAAACACCTCTTCCCTTCTGCACTGAATTTTCACATTGCCTCTAAATTCTCCAAACTATATATTCACTTGTGCTAACAAGGTGTAGAGCTGGATGCACACAGCAGGCCAAGCAGCACTTGTGCTGTCTCACTGAGGGTGGGATCTTTCCTTCCTTACCATATGAAGCTTACTCTAACCTGTACAAATCACCTCTAACTTAATTTGAAATTGTCAATCTCGGTCCTGCACCTATTCAGTGGAAGTTTCTAACGTGCAGTGAAGATTCTGTTCCTTGCAAATAGAATACATGTCTTATGTGCATTTCTGAATGCAAGGTCTTGACCACTCTTGTCTACTTCCCTCATTTAAAAAAAATATACGACATTATTCAGAACCTTCTCTCAAAATCAAAGAAAACATCCACCTTTATGATGATATATAGAAAAAAAATAGCCGCAACCAATGAAGAAAGGGGGAGGAGAAGCTTCATCAATTGGAAACCAGGAGAAAGAGTAGTGAATCAGAGATAGTAGGAACTGCAGATGCTGGAGAATCCGAGACAACAGGGTGCAGAGCTGGATGAACACAGCAGGCCAAGCAGCATCATAGGAGCAGAAAGGCTGACGTTTCTGGCCGAGATGAAGGTGCGGCGCACGCTGTCAGCGGCAGGGGGCGCTCGTCTCGCGCAGGATCCGGGGAAAGCTCCATGGGCGGGTAGGCGGACCGGAAGGCGGCCTACGTGACCCGGCAGTGGTTTCCAGCAGCGGTTGTAACCCGGTCGTGATTTCCGGAAGGTTTGTGTGTGAGTTATTATCCGGCTCATCGTGAGAGTAAGTCAATGATCATTCATTTGGAAGAACACCGCAGTTATTCGGTGTTTCATTAAACTCGGCTTGTCTGTCTTTTCGGCGATAGAGAGGGATCTGTAATTGTTGGTGGAGTGAGGTTTTTCTCAGTAACTTTATTTGGAGCCAGGTTGCAGGCCCAGTCACATTGTTTTCACTGCAGCAGCGGATAACTGTCCCTGTCTGTGAGATTTGATGCAGATGTCTGTCTGGCCTGTTGTTTCAACCACACCAGTAAATTAACGGAATGTTTGTAGCCATTCAGACTCTCCAAATGAATGTGTTTGTTTTCAAAATGAGAATACGGGCGCTGACAGTTACCTTCAGGATAATAACGCGAGTTTATCCTTATTAATGAGATGTTTGTCAGATTGAGAAAAGAAAACAATTTTGCACTTTTTTCATGACCATCGAATGTCTCAAAAGCACTTTACATTCAAGAAAGTACTTTTAAGTGTAACCGCTTGTGTATTGGAACGTGACTGAGGGAGGCAAAATTGGCCGGGAGATTTGGGAGAATGCTCTTACGTTTCTTTGAAAATAACCTTTCTAGAAACTAATTAGTCTGTGCTGATTGTTTGTTTATTTCCTTACTGCTGACAATGAGGCTATCATTGAATAGAAAATGAACAGGACCATGCGTATAAATTAGCTACAAGAGCAGGTGAAAGATCCGGAATTGTGCAGCGAGTAACTCATCTCCAGTCTCCTCAGAGCCTGTGAAACATCTACAAGGGACAAGTCACAAAAACGATGGGATATTCTGAGGTCCATACCAAGTGATCCATTTGGATTTATTCTTTCTTGACATTCTTGAAATAGTCTAATATAACTGAGTGGCTTCCTGGCCCATTTCAGAGGGCAGTTGCGTCAACTCCATTGTGCCAAGTCTGCAACAATCCAGCAGGAATTGCTGGACATTGTTGAAAAAGTATTTTGGAATCACTTCTGTGGAGAAGCAAGTGTTTTTCTTCTGGCCCCCAGTGCTATTGTGGACCACTGTACTATATCTCCTGAAAATGTTGGAAATTCCAATGCAAATGAAGCAGACTATTCATTCATCAGAAGAAGTAATATTTTACTGTTTACTCAGAGAAGCCTTCCAGACTTATTGCTTTATTGGCTAACACTTCTCAGTTTTGTACACACTCGGCTTGTTACTGCTCCTGTTACAGGCTGCTTGTGACATTCTGGGCTGCATTCCTAACCAACCCATTCCCTGTTTTTTCACTCCACCCTAGCCTGAAATCTGTTTTCCTGACAATGCTGCCCATCTCCCCATCTTATTTCCACTCTCTGCCCAAGCCCCAGTCTGAAAACCTCATTCCTAAGTCTCACTGCCTCTCTGAATCCTTGTTTCCTGCCCTCTACAGCAACAAGAAATTGCATCTATGTAGCACTTTTAACATAACAAAATGTCCCAAGGCACTTCATAGGAAAATTATCCAACTGCATCTAACATTGAGTCGTAAAAGGAAATATTAGGATAAGTGATCAAAATTTTACCGAAGCAGTAGGTTTGAAGGAGCATGTTAAAGGAGAATTGTTATACTTGCAGTTCAAAAAATGCCTTATGTGCACTTCCATTTTAAGTGGTAGATTCATGTCAATAGACTGGTATTTTTTTGTATTCAGTAAATATATGGAATTAGACTCTAACCATGTTTTTTTTGTTAATAGTTTGTTGGATGTGGATGCCATTGGCATGCCCAGCACTGTCCCCCATCCATAATTACCTTCTAGAAGATGGTGAGCTGCCTGTTTGAACTGTTGCATCTGGTGTATGTACGCCAGCAATGATGTTAGGTAGGGAGTTCTAGGATTTTGATCTACTGACAGTGAAGGCGCAGCAATTATAATTCCAAGTTAGTGTGATAATACTATGGCTTTGAGTTTTTTTTTTTGAGAGGTTTTAAGGCAGAGGTGAGGAGCAGTCTACCAGAGTAAACAGTTCGTGAGGCTTTTTTTTAATCTTGGAACAACAGAAGCTTTCTGAATGGGTGTGGTCAAGCTCCCACAGAATGAGGATTTTTAGTTCTAGCTTTCAGCAGTTGCTGTTGGGGTCTTAACTAAGTGGAAGCCATTTTTCTCTCTCGGTTACAGCCAAAAGCTGGGGGTTCTCTTACTGCTGCGGGAGTTACATGTGAGACAATATGTTTTCTGAATTTGCCTTATGCCATGGCTGTGTTCATGAGATGTTACTATATTTTCTGTTGTATTTTAACTGTAGTATATGAATAAATTGTGTTTTGCTTAATATCGAGTAGGTTGACCAATTGCATTGCTTCTGAAACGTAGCATCTTACATTTACCTTCAAAATAAGAAAAGGTTAGGGTCTAGGCTACCATAATATATTTTCAGGGGGTCTGGTCTAGTCTATAACATCAGGATGGTATATGTCTTGGAGTGGAACTTACAGGTGTTGGTTGGTTTTCACTGCTCAGCAATTCCGAGAAATGCCAAGAACAACAACCACCGTTGTACATATCCTTCATCGATTTGACGAAGGCTTTGACTCAGTCGATCGGGAACTGCTATGAAAGATCCTGTAAAAAGCAAGCTGTCCTGTGAAATTCATCAACATTCTCTGTCTCCTCCATGACAAGATGCCAACTACGATCCTCACCGGTAACGTGACAGAATCCTTTGAAGTCAAGAGGGATGTGTCATTACCCCCCACTCTTAACTCCATCTTCAATGCCACCATATTTTATCTTGTAAAGAATAAGCTTCGCAGTGGTGTGAATATTGTCTACAGAATGGATGAAAACTTTTCAACACCAATCGGTTGCAACACCAGAAGAAAATGACACTGACCTTGCTTGTGGGACTTCAGCATGCAGATGATAATGTCATCTCAGCAGTCTCTGGAGACAATCTTCAAGTCTTGCTTAATGCCTTCGCAGATGCGTATTGAAGGGTTGGTCTCATCTACAACCCCAAGAAGAGTCAAAAACTTTATCAACCCATCCCAGGTCAAGTTCCAGTTCATCCCTCCATTTAGAATCAGCTGAGAAATCCTCTTAAATGTGGAACATTTTGTTACCTGGGAAGCTACCTGTAATCTAAGGCTGACCTCACTGCAGAGATTCAACATCACATCCAATCTGTGAGTGTCGCCTTCGGACACCTAATAATGAGTGTCTTCTTCTTGACCGTGACATTCGTGCTGATACCAAGATCCTTGTGTACAAGGCAGTCATCCTTCTGACTTTTCTATGTGGCTCTGAAATTTGGACGACATGTAGACCCTTAAAGTACCATCAATACTGTTTGAGACAACTTCATGTATCAGCTGAGAGGACATATGTACTAAAATCAGAGTCTTTGAAGTAGCTAATAGCTCCAATATCAGTAAGGGTGTGGAATAGGAATGGCATGAATTTACATAGTGCCTATCCAATATCTTTTTGAAAGTCCCGAATTGTAATCGCCTCCACCACACACTCGGGTACTGCTTTCCAGATCCCAATCACTCAGTAAAAATAAAATTATTCCCATGTTGCATTGGTTCTAATGTCAATCATCTTAAATCTAGATCCTCTAGTTTCTTGACTCACTTGCCATTAGGCATAATTTTCCTCTGTCTAAACCCCTCCTAACTTTGAACACCTCTGCCAAGTCTCCCCTCAACCTTCTTTTCCTTAAGGAGATCAACCCTAGCTTATCTAATCCACTCAAAAAACTGAAATCACACATTCATGGATCAATTTAGGTATAACGCCACGCCCTCTCAAAGACCTTCATATTCTGCCTAAAGTGCACTGCCTTGAATTTGACACTACTCCAGTTGAAACTAAACCAAAGTTTTTGGCTGGAGAAATTCAGCCGAGCACAATTATATATCTTTACCCTCAATAGCAAGTCCCATTTCTTCTCTGCACAACATGAGCATTGACTCTGTGTGCACATATGAATGTGGGAGGGGTGATGCCAGAGATTGAGTGGATTTGCCAGGGGGAAATGGAGTCATAGCTGCAGCACAAAATTTTAACAGTACTGTTCTCCCCAGCTATTCAAAGCAATTGGGAGATTTGCCAAACCTAAGTGCATTACTCTGTAGGTCAGATGAAACTGTTTCATGGGATCTGTATTTAGTGAATAGTAAATGTTCCAGTGCAACCACATGAATCAGTCTTCGAGTGGAAATGCAAAGCTCATCATATCTTCCTTTCAGCAACTGAAATAAGGTACTGGCAGCCAAATGAGTGTAACAGTAAGTACAACAGTGTTATCTTTGTTATTTACTGGGAATCCATCCAGAATAAAGGAAGTCCAGGAAAGACAGGCAACATTCAAATCGAATCAGGATGGAAACACTTGCAAGGAACAGTGAGACAGCAGCAGAAACCCGAAGAGACTCTCATGAAGCAAAGATAAAGAGACACTGAAAGCTTTTGTGAGAAGAAGAAAATGTGTGTCGGCAATTACTCAATTGGTAGTACTGTCATCTTGGAGTCAGAGATTTTGAGTTCAAGTCTCGCTCTGCGGCATCCGAACAGAAATCAGAGTTGATATTGGAGTGTTGAAATGTGCTGCACTACTGGAAGTTCCTTTTTTTTTGGGGAAAAGATGCTAAACTAAGGCTATGTCTAATCCACTGAAATGGGCTTAAAAGTTGCAACTTTTGAGGAAAAATAGGGAGATATCCCCATGGTGTTTATTTTTTTGGACAATATTTGTTCCTCAACCAACATTAAATAACATTATCTGATCGTTATCACATCTAGTTGGGGGAACCCACATTTTGCAAATTGACTTCTAAATTTCCTACATTCAGATGGTGACTGTATTTCAAAGATACTTTGACAGTAAAACAGATGCATGCAGTGATCATAAAATATCCTTTTTTCTAAATGTAATAATACAAAGGAGATAAAGATGTTGAAATTGAATCTCTTGTGGCAATAGTGTGATGCTGGGCACTGGGAAAGTAGAGAACCTAGCAAAAGTAAAATAAGTTGATCTTGTGGCAGTTTGGTTAGCCACCTCAAATGTTTAACAGCAAGTCAGCTAGCACCAGAGATATATTACAGACTAGGATAAGAAAGGGAAAATATTGCATGAGAAAGAGATGAGTAAGTATGTGAGAATAGAAGAGTTAATGGAAAACTTCATTCAACCTAATGCAAAACAAAAAAATCCAGGTTAGAATTTGGGTTTGTGGTTGCGAGACAAATGAAGCAGCAGTGCAGGTGAAATACTGGGAAATTTAGATAAATATAGCAGCTTGAAAATCAACCAGCTTTGTCTCAGCAAAGATGACCCACAAATGGATGAACAGATACGTGAGTTTGGGGGGAAAATGGAGAAGATCACTCAGATGAATATAAGAAAATGAGAAGCACATTAAAAATGTGATTTAAGGAGAAAAGGAAGATGTGATAAATGAATGAACAGCTGACGCTAAGAAAACACTTTTTAAAAAAAAAGTTAGTTTAGGACTACAACAGTAAGTTTAACCAGGACAATGAATAGTTATTTTTACTAAATGGATTACAGCAGTTCAAGTTAAAGCCCTCTTTCATGTTTTCAAGGATGGGTATTAAACTTTGTGACATGCAGTATTTTTATTTTCCTACACAAGAATTTGGAGCAGGAGAACCCATGTAAGGTCTGTTCCACCGTTCATTATGATCATGGCTGGTTTTCAGCTTCCCCTCCACTTTCTAGCCTGGTCCTCATATCCCATGATTCCCTGAGAGACCAAAAACCCCTCTGTTTCAGCTTTAAAATGCACTGGAGCATTGACCACCCTCTGGGGTAGACATTCCAAAGATCCACAACCTTTTTGAGTGAAAACAGTTCTCCTCACCTTAGTTAAAATGATCAACTCCTTCTCCTGAGAGAGACTGTTCATTCCCCAGCCAGGGAAGGCATCTTGATGTCTACCCTTTTGAAGCCCCTTTAGAATCTTGCATGTTTTCATGATCGCCGCTCATTCTTTTAAGCTCTAGAGACGTCCAATCTAATTTACTCAGCCTTTCATCATAGGACAGCCCTCTCAAACTTGAGACCTTTTAGTGTATCCAGTGAACCTCCACCGCATCACTTCTAATGCAGCCTTTGGCACTTCTGCAGAGAACAATATTGATTCAGACTTTAAGGGGAGGTGATAGCCTAGTTGTATTATTGCTAGACTACTAATCCAGAAACTCAACTAATGTTTGGGGGATCCAATCTCAAATCCCTCCATGCCAGATGGTGGGATTTGAATTAATTTTTTTTTAAAACTTGAATTAAGAGTCTACTGATGACCATGAAACCATTGCTGATTGTCGGTAAAAATCCATCTGTCTCACTAATGTGCTTCAGGGGAGGCATTCTGCCATCTTCAGCTGCTCTGGCTACATGTGCCTCTAGAGCCACAGCAATGCAGTCAACTCTCAAATGGCCTCTGAAATAGCAAGCCACTCAGTTCAAAGACTCCACATCCGTCTGGTAGTGTGGCAACTTGAACTGAACACAATATTTCAAATGTGCCCTAACTAAAGTTCTATACAGTTGCAAAATGACTTGCCAATTTTTATATTCTGCTTCAACCAGTGAAGGCAAGCATGCCATATGCTGCCTTGACCACTTTATCCACTTGTGTTGTCCCTTCTAGGGAACTGTGGACTTCAATACCTCTGTGTCTTAATGCTTCTAAGGGTTGTGCCATTTATTGTATTCTTCCCTCCTGCATTAGACCTTCCAAAATGCACCAGCTCATTTGTCCAGATTAAGTTCCATCTGCCATTTCTTTGCTCAGGACTCCAACGTATCTATATTCTGCTGTATCCTCGGTCAATTCTCCTCACCATCCACCGCTGTTCCAATCTTTGTGTCGTCTGCAAACTTACTAATCAGGTCACCTACATTCTCCTCCAAACCATTTATTTATATTACTAACAACAGGGGTTATTCCCTGCAGAACACCACTAGTCATAGATGTCCAGTCAGAAAAACACTCTTCTACCACTCCTGTGTCTTCTGTGGCCAAGCCAGTTCTGTATCCATCTAAACAGCTCACTGAGGATCCCATGTGACTTCATCTTTTGTATCAGCCTGCCATAAGAAACCTTTTCAAAGGTCTTGCTGAAGTTCATGTTGACAACATCCACCACCCTGCTGTCATCCATCATCTTTATCATTTTTTCAAAAACCACAATCAGTTTTGTGGGACATGACCACCCCTACACAAAGCTATGTCATTTATCACTAATAAGTCCATATTTTTCCAAATGTGAATAAGTCCCATCCCTAAGAATCCTCTCCAATAATTTCCCTACCATTGATGTAAGGCTCATTGGCCTGTAATTTCCTGGATTATCCCTATTGCCCTTCTTAAACAAAGGAACAACATTGTCTACTCACCGATCCTTTGGGACCTCTCCAGTGACGAAAGAGGATATAAAGATTTTGTACGAGGCCGCCACAGTTTCCTCCCTCAAAATTCTGGGATAGATCTCATCGCGTCCTTGGACTTGTCTTAATGCTTTTCAAAACACTCACCACCTTTTTTATATTGACATGCCCTAGAATGTCAACATATACCTCTTAAGACTCACCATCCACCATATCCTTCTTCCTGAATACCGATTCAAAGTATTTGTTTAGGGCCTCATCCATTTCTTCCAGTTCCATACATTAGTTCCTTCCTTTGTCCTTGAGTGGACCTACCCTAGCTATCCTCTTGCTTCTCGTGTGTATAAAGCATCTTGGGATTTTCCTTAATCCTGTATGCCAAGGACATTTAATGGTCCCTTTTCACCCTCCTGATTTCTTTATATTCTTCAGGGGCTCTGTCTGTCTTCCGTTTGCTAAACCTTACATATGCCTCCTTTTTAATGAAGCTCACAATTTCTCTTGTTATCCAAGGTTCCTGAACCTTGCCATCTTTATCCTTCACTTTCACAGCAACATGCTGGTCCTGAAGCCCAGTCAATGAGCCTTTAAAAGATTCCCACATGACAGATGTGCATTTATCCTCAAACAGCTGCCTTGAATCTACATCCCCCAGTTCCTGCCTAATATTGTGGTAGTTAGTCTTCTTCCACCTTTCACCTGAGAACCACTATTATCCTTATCGATAAGTAACTTAAAACTTAGTGTCTGTTTCTGAACTGCCAGCGTACTGAAAGTTCAGTCACCTGGCTGGACTCATTCCCCAATACAAGGTCTAATATGGTCCCTTACCTAGTTGGACTATTTATATATTGCTTGAAGAAACTCTTCTGGATGTACCTAACAAATTCCCTGCAATCCAAGCCCGCAGCACTAGGGGATTCCTAGTCAATATAAAGGAAGTTAAAATCATGCACCGCAACAACTCTTGTTTTTACATTTTTCCATAATCTGACCACATACCTGTTCCTCTATCCTGTTGGGAGGCCTGTAGTACAACCCCAGCAAAACTGATGGCACCCTTCCTATCCCTGAGCTCTACCCATATGGCCTTACTGGATGAACTCTTCAAAGTGGTCTCCCTCAGTAAAGCTGTAATATTCTTCATAATCAGTAAGCAAATGCCCTGCCTCTCTCACATCCCTCTCTATTTCGCCTGAAGCAACTAAATCCCGGAATGTTAAGCTGCCAGTCTTGATCCTCTCTCAATCAAGTGTCAGTAATAGGTACAACATCATAGTTATATGTACTAATCCAGATCTGCATTGTATTTTTAACTCTTCAAATTATGACCCCAGTTGATGTTATTACGAGGCAATTCAGATCACAGATTGAGATTTGGCTTGATAGATCATGTAGAAACTTTGGATGTGAGTTGATTGCTGTCCTTGGGCCTGGATTGGTAATGTTGGTTTACTCAAATTTTACATATGGTTGCATTCTGGAGAGCAGGAAATATGACATTAGCAGAATTGTTTCCAGTGCTAATATTTTTTTCTTACTTATGAAGCCATGTTTTGAAGGTATTTTCATATGTTCAAGTGCTGTATAAATGCACGTTGTTGTCCTAATGTGTTTCCCTTCAGCAACTGGATCAATACTACCTAATTTCATCAGATTGAAATCAGGTCATGAGATGGAGCATAAAAGTGAATTGGAAATCTGAAACAAACGCAGAAAATGCTGCGGGTAATCAGCAAGTCTGGCCATAAAGAGTTTTTAACATGAAATGTTAACTGTTTCTCTGTCCACAGATGTTGTCAGACCTACAAAGTATTTCCAGCATTTTCTATTTATATTTCATGAATTGAAGCAATTTGTGATGGCCAATAGATAAAGGCGGGTGAATAAAATAGGCATACTGATTCCACAGTACCCAATTGGTTTTCATCACTTTACATGCTGCCAACTGTCTCCTGCTTCCAACCATTTCCACACTATTGATCACTTTTACACATTGATCGGATAGTTTTTTATTTGTGAAGTTTCTCTATTTTGAGCGTGAATAAAATTGTTCAAAGTAATTAAATGCATTTTTAACTCTAATAATTTTTCTTTCGGGTTTTTACTTGTAGCAGTGTCCAGTAGTTCACTCTTAACTTTGTTGGTGACCAATACCTGTAACATAATTGCAGCTGGTTATAAAAGCTGCTTTGCAGAGACTTGATTGAGAGAGGGACAAGACTGGCAGCTTAACATTCTGGGATTTAGATGTTTGAGGCGTGATAGAGAGGGGTGTAAAAGAGGCGGGGCATTTGCATTACTGATTATGAAGAATATCACAGCTGTACTGAGAGTTCACTTTGAGTTCATCCAATAAGGTCATATGGGTAATGTTCAGGGATAGGAAGGGTGCCATCACTTTGATATTTTCTTTATCTTCAAGAAGTTGCAGACTCTTCTGGCCCAGGTAAATGCAAAAGTTAGGCATTCTTGTCTCCATAACTAGTCTGATACCCTCTCCATCCTCCATGTGCTAAACTGCAATTGTCTGTGGTTGATCCTACAATCAACAGGTCTCATCTAAGGCCTGCAGTGCTGTGATATCTAGTCATGAGTGGTGGTGAACAATTAAACAACTAACAGGAAGTCAGGGCTCCACAAGTATCCCAATCTTCAATGTTGGGGAAGCCCGGCTCATCATAAAAGACAAAGCTGAAGTATTTGCATCCATCTCCAGCCAGAAGTGCCAAGTGAATGATCCATCTTGGCCTCCTTCTGAGGTCCCCAGCATCATACACGCCAGTTTTCAGCCAATATGATTTACTCATATGATAGCAAGAGACAACCGAAGGCACTGGAAAGGCCATCGGGTCTGACAGCATTCCAGCAATAGTGCTGAAGCCTTGTGTCCTAAGACTAGCTATACCCCTAGCCAAGCTGTTTCTGTATAGATGCCAGTGTTGAAACTATCCAGCAATGTGGAAAATTGTCCAGGTATGTCCTGCGCACACAAATGAGGGCAAGACTAATACTGCCCTATCAGTCTACTTTTGAGCATCAATAAAATTTTGGAAGGGGCAATTGACGATACAGTCAAGTAGCACTTACAAGTAATAACCTTATCACTGGCATTCAGTTCGAATTCCACAATGATCATTCAGCTCCTGACCTCATTACAGTCTTGTTTTAAACATGGACAAAACAGCTAAACTGCAGAGGTGAGGTGAGAGTGATATCCCTTGACATCAAAGCTACATTTGACCAAGAGTAGCAGTAAGTAACCCTAGCAAAGTGGGCAAAGTGTGGGTAGGCTGAAGTCATACTTAGCACAAAGGAAGGCTGTTGTGGTTGTTGGATGTCAATCATCTCAGACCCAGGACATCACTACAGGAGTTTCTCAAGGTAATATGCGAGGCCCAAACATCTTCAGCTGTCTTATCCATCCAGAGGTTCCATCGTAATGCCCAAAATGGGCATACTCTGTGATGATTGCACAATGTTCAGCAAACATCATAACTCCTCAGACACTGAAGCAGACTGTGCACTTGTTAAAATTGTGACCTTTACCAGGTGGAAGGACAAGGGCAGTAGATGCATGGAGCATCGCCACTGCAAGTTTCCTTCCTCATCGTGCACCTTCCTGACTTGGAACTATATCACCATTCCTTCACTATCACGGAGTCCAAGTGATAGATTTCCCTTCCTAATAGTACTTTGGATGTCCTCACATCTGAAGGACTGTTAGTGATCCAAGAAAGCAGCTCACCACCACCACCTCCAGGCAAGTAGGGATGGGCAATAAATTCTGACTTAGCCAATGACATCCACATCTCAAGAATTAATGTTTTAAAATGCTGCTGCATGCTCATCTACTCAGCATGTTCAGCAAAAACCCAATCTCAACCTAAATTTCAAGCTTCGTGAAATGTAACAAGTACTTGCAGTGATGAGTCAGTTGGTTGCAACACAGTTTAAAAAGGTCAGCCTCATTCTCTACTTAAATAAAACAATATCCGGCAAAGATAAACCACCTCCAAAGAAACTTTTCTCTCTAGTTGGCAGTTTTACGAAATAAACCATGAATATCTGGAGGTTCACTTCAAAATTGAGAGGGTCTAGCTCTGGAGGAAATGTGCATGTGGGGACCTGGTTTGGAGACTCAATAACCTACACACTAACTGCTACAGTTTTCAATGATGGACAATCATAAAAGGGAAACAACTTTTATTGGCCTGATAGTAGGGAGAAGTTTTACATTTTGCCTCAGTTTTAATCTTCTTTAATTTTCAGGAGTAGCACTGGAGCAGAATGAGTGCAGAAGCAGCAGACCGTGAGGCGGTGACCTCTAGTCGACCTTGCACTCCACCTCAGACAATTTGGTTTGAGTTCTTATTAGATGAAGGACTGCTTGAAAAACATTTGCAGAAGTCTTTTCCAGGTTTGTTCAACTTTGTCCCTCAGAGATTCAGCTAGGCAGCTTACACCGCGTACTTTCAAAAAACAGTGTTCTTATGTTAGTTGTAAATTCCTGTTACAGCAGTCATACTGTTAATAATGTGACTGTCATTGTGTCTTTTTTAGTAAGTAAAACAGGAAGCCCAACATCTGAGCTGCTTAGCAGTAATTTATTACAAAAATGAAAACATGCAAGACAAACTGTCATCTTTCAGTTCAATATTTTCAGAGATTTTGGAAAAAAAATCCTACAAGCTGTTGATTTCCTGGCAGAAAACATTCAACCTACAATGATTCTAAAATTTTCAAGTATCATAAATGAAATTGTAAACTGAAGTTAGTATCACTATTATTGGTGCCTGTAGGCTCTTAAAACTATGTTCAGAGTTTGCAATATGTTGCTTCTTAAGTGAGATATGCAGGGCCCGTATTGTGAGTCAACAAGTCCGAATCATCAGCTTAATGAAATTCAGTGCTCAAATACGTAAGATTCTCCCACTATAGACATTATCAAGTAACATAATATTTTTTACGTAAAGATGCTATCTGTGTAGTATTAAGCCGTACAAATTAGAAAATGACAGACTTTTTACTAGGCCTATTGATCAAAACTGGATCTCCATTAGGATTAGTGCACTTGGTCTGTAAGGCACCTTGCATGCTATAGTGAAGAATATAATTTTCAGCCAGGATTTCTGAATCTGCATTCTGGTCCAGTATTGTCTGCTGGATTGTGATTGTATTCAGAAGCCAGGTTGAGGGTGGGTTTTGAATTGTACCATCCATGACTTATGTACACTGATATTGTCCAGTGTCAAGCACGCAAAATGGATTTCAGACAAGGTATTGCAAGGCTGCTTGCGTTTGCAGAATCAGCATAACTGAGCAGTTTTGAGAGGAAGTGAAAAGGACTGAGAGATTTTTCGTACAGCTGGTAATGCAGTATGCCTTTAAGAGCAAATGTTGTACTTCATTTAATGTGCAGTGCTGACTCCTATAATTGCGCCAATTTGGAGGCAGGTCTAAAGCATATTAAAATGCGTTTTTCAGGTGCCCCATGTAGTCGCTTCATATGAAAACTAAAGTAAAAGGGATTTGCTGATATTAAACAAAGCAGCTTATTCCTGAGTTTTTGTCTCATTTCAAGAGTTTGGGGGAAGATAGATATGTAGAAACTAAAGTAACAGGGTTTTTTTTTGTTTTATGCCTTGGAACCTACTTTGAACCATAAAGCATATTACTCAAAACCCTAGACTTTATTACATAAGCAATTCTGTTATAAATGTAGCATTATTATAACAGCTTTCACTTATTGCCCCTGTTAATATAGAAAATATATCCCAGGTTGTATCATAGAAGCATACTCAGAATAAAGTAAACACCAAGCAAAAGGAGATGTTAGTACCTGTGATCATAAACTGCTAAGGAGGGGTTGGGAGGAGGAAAGAAAGATGAAAAGGTGGAGAGATTTGCCAGGCTTCAGGGTGTGGGTGATATGACTTAGTGCTGGAGGGATTTTAGAGATGCTGGAGCAGGTCCCTATTGAATAAGATTATAGGTAAAGATGATCTAGCAGACTGCAAAATTGTGGTTTACATCAAGGTATAAAGCTACAGATGTTTGACCAAGAAAACATTAAAATATTCTAGGCTGGCGGTAATAAAGACATGGATGAAAGAGAACTTCAGCAACAGATAGTTGAATTGGAGCAAAAGTGTGGCAATAGTTTGGATGTGGAAGTAGGTAGTCTGTATAAATTAGATGATCTGTGTCAAAAGCTTAAGGTTACGTTAGGTACTTCCTTCTTGGGCTGAAAAGGAGATTGTGCATCCCCAAACATTGTATATGCAGACATAAGGCATTAGAGCACTAATGCACACCATCAGCTGATCAGGCTGCGAGCAGCTTTTAATAATTTTTTTTTGTGGCAGTACCAGATGGAAGATTTCTCCCTTACTGGGAAACCAGGGAGTAGCTCATGAAAAGTTTGATTGTTCCGTGTGGGTCAAATAAAAGAAAATCTCTTTTGCGCATTGTTGTCGAGAAACAGGAGATTTTAAAAAATGATTTGAGTATGTGGCAGTGGTTACAGTTAGTGAAATTGCAGCCATTTTTAATGATATCCCTGTGAAATTTCCTCCAGCATTTCAGATCAAAGGGCAAAGTTGTAGTCAAATCTGGAAGTTATCTAATGGATTGCGTTCTCTTTAAATATAAAAACGTCCTCATGGCTGTACGTAAATTCATTAATTTTTAACCTACAAACATTTAATGTGTCAATAATTGCATTATTTCTATGTTTAAAAGACAACATTATTTTTGCTGAAACAGATCCATCGCCAATTCAGCTGATAAACCAATTTTTGGAGCAGGCCTCCAAACCGTCTGTAAATGAGCAAAACCAAGTGCATCCACCAACTGATAACAAAAGGAACCGCACATTGAAACTCCTTGCACTCAAGGTAGCTGCACACTTGAAGTGGGATTTAGAGTTGCTGGAAAAAAGGTAATTTTAAAACATTCTTTGCGTCATGAGACCTTTTTAAACATCAGAAGTGTTTTTTTAAATTAAAATTGCTTTGAAAGGCATCGCTCAACTTTTTAGAAACCAGTGGCATTTTAATAGTCGTGTATTTATCTTCCACCAGTTTGACTGTGCCAGTGCTGAATATGCTTCTGAACGAGTTGCTCTGTGTCAGCAAGGTTCCTCCAGGTGTAAAGCACGTTGATCTCGATCTGTGCAGCCTGCCTCCGACAACAACTATGGCCATACTGGTGTACAATAGATGGTAAGATCGGATGTCTCTTTTATAATGCATTCTTTATGAATTAAACTTTTTTTTAACTAAACTGGGTAGACCAGCATTTGTGATCATGTTGTAAGACTTTTGATACAGATCACATTCTTAAAAGATGTGAGAAGAAACAAATAGCCATGAATTAAGTCTTTGACTGCTACCTGTTACATTTTGGGAAGAGATGGAGTTTATAGTAGCTTAGTCAAGGAGACACAAACATTTTCTTAAATTCATTTGCAAGATGTTTGCTTTACTGGCTGGGCCTGCATTTATTGCCCATCCCTAGTTGCCCTTGAGGCGGTGGTGAGCTGCCTTTTTTAGGTGCTGCAGTCCATATGATATTTTTGGAGCTGTACTCATCCATGTAAGTGGGAGTAATTCATCACACACCTGTCAGATGTTGGTAGATGGGAGTTCAGCAATGGAAATGCCATTGAATGATAGGGACACTGGATTGATTCTCACTTGTAGGAGATAGTCATTGCCAGGCACTTGTGTCGTATGAATGTTACTTGATATTCATTGGTCCAAGCCTAGATACTGTCTAGGTATCGATGCATTTGTACTTGTACTCCTTCACAATCTGAAGAGTTGCAAATGGTACTGAACATCGTGGAATCATTGGCAAACACCCCCACTTCTGACCATCTGCTGGAGGGAATGCTACTAATAAAACAGCTGGAGATAATTGGGCCTAAGAGACAGCCCTGAGGAACTCTTGCAGACGTGACTGATCTCCAGCAAGAACATCATCATCCTTCATGTTGAATGAATCCAACCCTTCCAGTGATTTGCATTGTTTCTAGATTTGTTGCCGGTTTTTATGCCACACCCAGTCAGATATGACCTCGACGTCAAGGGCAGTCACTCACACTGCCTCCTGGAGTTCAGATGTTTGACCATGTTTCAGCCAAGGAGTAATGAGGTCAGGAACTGAGAGCCCTGGCAGAACCCAAACTGAGTGTCAGTGCACAGATTATTGCTAAGATAAAAGCAAAATATTGCAGATGCTAGAAATTTGAATTTAAAATGTCTAAAAATCAGTCCTGGCAATGCCAGGAGACCAAAACAGCTATTTTTTTGAGTCTAATATGACTACTGTTCAGATCTGAAAAGAGCCTCAAATGGTATTTTCATACGCTATTGACAGAGGAGCAAGTGGGATGGATGGTGAGAATACCCTGAGCAAATGATAAAGAACGCACTAGTGGTGGTAAAGGAGGGAGAGAAATGTAAAATTGGTGCGAATTACAGATTTGTCACTAGGCTAGTAATCCAGAATGTATGCTGATGTTCTGAGGAAACGTTACTAGATCCGAAAAGTCAACTCTGATTTTTCTTCACAGATGATGCCAGACCTGCTGAGCTTTTCTAGCAACTTCTGTTTTTGTTTCTGATTTACGGCATCCACAGTTCTTTCAGTTTTTATTCTGTAGGTTAATGTTCCTTGGGTATGGATTTGAATTCCTCCATGGCAGGTGATGAAATTTGAATTCCGTAAAATCTGGAATTAAAAGCTAGGCAAATGGCAAACATGGAATGATTGTCAAATTAGCAATTTACTAATGTCTTTTTGGGAAGGAAATCTGTTATCCTTACCTGTTCTGGCCAACTTCAGACTGATAGCCGTGTAATTGACTTTGGACATTTATGGGTGGCCTGGCCAGCAATGATCACATCTCATGAATTTTTTTTAAAAAAAGAGGACATTGATCCACTGTTCTGAGAGCAAAGGTCTCGTGTTGATTCAAGGAGGATGTTGACTGCAATCAACTGCAGGACAAAAGTCATGCTCCTGACATTGTTGAATTGAATTGTGAGCCCTGAGGCTGTAAAGTTCTGTGGGGAAAATGAGTTGCTGTTCCTCCAGTTTGCATCAAGCTTTGTTGGAACTCTATAGTGGACCCAGTACAGAAATGTTAGCATGGGAACAAGCAACTGGAGAGTCGGGGTTCTTATGGACAGAGTGGAGGTGTTGGCAAAGCATTTGGTCACGCCAATGCAATTTTCCATGTGTTGAGTTTGTCTAGCATTTTCTGTTTTCATTTCAGGTTATTACTCAGCAAATGCTGCTTGGTAACGGCATTGATAACCCTTTCTATCACTTTATCAATGATCAAGGTGAACCTGATGGGGTGGTAATTGGGCAGGTTGGATTTGTCCTGTATTTGTGTGCAGGAGATGCCTGGGCAATTTTTCACGTTGGGTAGATGCTAGTGATGTAGTTGTACTGGAACAGCTTGGCTAAGTGTGTGGAAAATTCTGTAGCACAGGTCTTCAGCACTACTGTCAGAATATTGTCAGGACCCAAAGCCTTTGAATTGTCTATTGCCTTCAACTTTTTTTTTGATACCATGTGGAGTGAATAATCACATTGGCTGAAGACTAACGTGTGATGCTGGAGATCCCTAGAGGAGGCTGAGATGGATCATCCATTTGCAAGATTGTTGCAAATGCTCAGCCTTATCTTTTACAATGATGTGTTGGGCTCCCCCATCATTGAGGATGGGATATTTGCAGAGTTTTCCCCTTAAATGGATTGTTTAAATGTCCACCACTGTTATTCGATATGGCAGTGTCTCAGAACATAGGTCTAATCCAGTAGTTGTGAAACTGCTTAGTCCTATCACTTGCTACTTAGGACTGTGTGTGCCAAACATTGTGTGTTATTCGTTTTTAAGAATGCTCAACACTGTTCCTGGCATGTCCTCGTGCATCCTTCATTCTACCAGGATAAACTTTTGTAGAGAGTAATTAATAAAAAATTGTACCAAATGTGTAAAATGGCCTGGTGTGACATTAAAAAGTTGCATATTAATGAACTATATTTCTTTTTTTTTGGTTTGTGATGCAGGTGACTGTTTTAAATACTCAATAAAAGAGGAAAATTTCATGACTGTTCCATTCTGAAGATTCCTTTTATTTATTTATTTGAGCAGGGCGGTTAGAACAACTGTCCAGAGCAGCTTTCCAGTGAAACAGTTAAAACCTGGTCCTCCACAATTAAACATGTGAGTACAGTATCGTGCACAGAGTTTTATTTGTGGGTTTAGAGCAGATTTTTCTTCCTTTTTATGCTGAAATGCAACTCTATAGAAAGTAGCCTCACTTCACTAATTTCACGCAGCTTAGAGACATCTTGGTTTTGGCTTGAGTGCAGAAGATTTTGGCTCCGTCTTGTCTGGCCTCATGATTAGATCAGTTGTAACTAGAGAAACATGGAAAGGTATTTTAAATCTGCTTCACCATTCAATTAGACCATGGCTGATCTATTTATGGCTTCGATTTATTTATCCATCTTTATTCCATACTTTCTACGGGATCCTGCAGAGGTGGCAGGGAGATGAAGCCATCTGCCATGTGAGTGGTGGGAGGTAAGGGAGGCCTGCAACAGAATGTTGTTAGTGACGAGAGGATTGAGATTCCCACAGGGGAAGTGGGATAAAGAGGGATGCTGCTTGGAAATAATAAAATAAACTCATTTTATTCTGTTGCTAATTCATTTTTCATCCTGGAGTGCTGTCTTTAGACAGGAAGGTGCCTACAGTCACTTGAAATGATATCAGTTTTTGTCTGTTCTTTGTGCCACCTGGAGTTGACATTCATAGCAAACTCAGCCTTGAAATAGTGCCAGTAAAGCTGGCTGCATTGTCCTGAATGATATCAAGCTTCTTGAGGGTTGTTGGAGTTTCAGTCATCTGAGTGGGGAGTATTCCATCACACTCCTGACTAGTATCTTTTTGATGTTGGGCTTGCCTGGGGAGTCAAGAGGTGAATTACTCACTGCAGAATTCCTCGCCTCTGTCCTGCTTATGTGGCTAGTTCAGTTTTTGGTCACTGGTCAACCTCAGGATGTTGATATGGGCTCAGTGATGGTAATCTGTTGAACGTCCAGGTATAATTATTAGATTCGCTCTTGTTTAAGATGGTCTTCACCAAGCATTTCTGTTGTGTGAATGTTACTTGTCACTTGTCAGCCCAGACCTGCACAATGTCCTGATCTTGCTATATGTGAATATGAACTGCTTCACTATTTGAGGAGTCTATCAATGAATGGTGCTGAACATTGTATGATCAGCGTACATCTGTCTGTCAGCCAGTGGCGCTGACTATGGTGTAATCATCAGAGAACATTCCCATTTCTGATCGTATCATGTAGGCAAGATACTGATGAAACAACTGAAGGTTGCGCCTAGGACTGTACCCTGAGGAACCCCTGTTGCAGTGTCCTGGAGTTGTCCTCTATTAATCATAAGCAATTTCTTTTTTGTGCTAGGTATGTCTCCAACCAGCAAATAAAAAAGGAAGATGCTATAAAAACTCAGCAGGTCTACCAGCACCTATGGAGAAAGAACAGGGTTAATGCTTCAAAACTGATAGGACAGTTAATCAGAACTGGGTACCAATGACTCCAACGAGCCAAGAGATTCCCATTGACTCTAATTCTTCTAGGGCTCCTTGATGCCACAGTTAGTCCTGAGGGCTGTCCCTCTCACCTTTCACTTATAAATATTAATTTGGTAATACAGAACTTGGGTGTTGTTGGGTAAAAAAGGTACTGAACATACTCAATCAGCCTGCACTTGCAAAACTCACAAGTGTCCAACATTGGATGTGATTTTTCAAATTGACAACATTTGCTAAATAATCTTGTGTGTGCTAAGAATTATGCAACCAATTTAAGATTGAGTGTTAGGCTTGTAATATGACGCATTTGATGTGTACTGGAAGGTACATGTATTAATACACAGGGCTCTATTTTCTGCAAACAGAAGGAACATGTATCCATAGCATCAAATCAGCAAAATAGATGACAGCCATCCACTCAGAACCTGCCTAGCTTAGCAGTTAACTTTCAATAATCATCAGCTGCTGCATTCTTCATGGCAACATCACTACCAGTGTCTAATTGCCAATCAATCAGTACACTCCTCTCATACGGTATAAATGTTGTTTTCCCCCTGACATTGGTATTTCTTGCAAATTTTCCTGATGAGGGAAAAATGAAAAGCTTGAACAAAACGTACCTTTCTTTCAGCTGTACTAAAAGTTACTTATGGTGAAGCATTTCATCATTTTACAGTCGTGCCTGTGGTCAAATGTTATTTTGGTATTGATCCCCAAAGGCCTGTTTAGCGTCCTAACCTTCTAATTGTATTTAGATATTTTGTGTCATTTATGCTGGTATTTAAATAACCATTTGTGTCAACCTCAAAGGGCGGAACTACTTTCTGTTGTTGCATATTCATAGAGAGTGAGACTTAGAAATTGAGGTTACCATTTTGTAGCTATTTCTCCACATGAACTAGCTGGAGAGGGGTATGAGTAGTTCCATCTCACCAAGTAAGCTCTTTCCCTCACAACCCATTTACAAAACTGTAGTCATCAACCCCTCTTCAAAAATACCACACTCTATCCCTATGAAATTACAAGCTGTCCATTTCCATCATTGCTTTCCTCTCAAGCATTTTAACATATTGTCATCTCTCAAATTTGTTCCCATTTTCATTAAAATATATTTGAATCTTTCCATTCTGTTTCTGCACAAGTCACAGCAGTGAAATGTCTCTCATTAATACCATTGAAGACATCATGTACATCAGGAAAGAAGTTGAAAGTTATAGAATAGTAGGTTTGAAAAGATCGTTTTTAGTATAAGGAAACTTAAATAAATGCAGGCATAGATCAGGTGGACCAAATTGTCTTTTTCTGTGCCGTAGATTCCCTGTAATCTCCTGTAATCCTGTAGTGCACTACCCCTCTTGACTTTTGGCAGCCTTCAACATAGTCAACCATTGTATTCTTCTTCAATACCTTGCCTCTGCTGGAATTCACCAGTTGGTTTCACTCTTAACTGTACCATATTCTTCAGCTCTTGGATCAGTCTCAACTTTTACCTGATTGCATTTTGCAAAGTGCTTTGGTACATTTTTTTGGAATTAAAGCATAATTGGAATACAAGTAATTATTCTTGTTCTTGCAAGGCTTCTGACTGGAGTTGCAAAGTTCCGGAATGGCCCTTTTTGTGTCAAGCTTCCGTTTAGCTGAGCTGTAAAAGCATAACTGTTGAGCATTTGAATGTGGCTAGTAGTATTTTTCTCTGGCTTTTATTCCTGCTAACACGGTTTTCTCTGGAGGTTCCCGGGAAACATACCTTTAGTAATGTTCTGTTCCTCATCTCCCACATAGTGGTTCTTCCATCACTGCTGTTGACCTATTTGAAGCCAATGTTTGTCGGCTTACTTGTTTGACATCCACTTATAGATTACGCACAATGTTCTCAAGTTAAATGTTTGAAAATTCAAAACTGTTGGCTTCAAGCCCTGTATGAGCTCAGACCCTTCCACCCCTTAATACAAGCTGTTCTATTTGATTCCAAGCTAGTTTTTTAAATCCATAACGTCCCTACCACAAAGACTTCCTTCTTCCACCTCACAATGTTTTCCTCAGAGTTCCATCAATGCATTTCTCATCTCTAGACTTGACTGTTCCATTGAGTTCCGGCTTGCCTCCCATCTTCACACACTGTTAACCCCAGGGCTCACCTAAAATTGGAGTTGGCCATATCTAACCTGCACCAAGTCCTCCTCATTGATATCACTATGCTTTGCTGACTCCCATTCTCTCAACTTTCCCCATTTTAAAATTCTTGTTCCTATCTTTAAATTCCTCATGACCTAACTCCAATTCTACAACCTCCTACAGCCTCATATTCTCAAGGTTCTGTGTTCCCTCGGCTCCAGCCTTTTGATCTCCTGGCAATCCTTTTATGCACCATTTGTGTCTTCAGGCATCTAAGGCCTAAGCCCTGAAATTCATTCCTTAAACCTCTCCCACACTTTCTTCACCTTTAAAATCCTTCTAAAATATATCTCTGATATAGCTTTTGTGCAAAAACCAGCATATGAGCAAGGTTTGGAGATATGCCATTTAGCCCTTCAAGCTTGCTCTGTGAGTAAGACTGTGACTGCATTTTGCATTTCTGCCTATCACTGAAAACTTCTCACTCCCTTGTTTAACAAGAATCTATCTATCTCTGCTTTAAAAATGTTCAAGGATTCTATTTACGAAAAGTTGGTGGAAGTAGAGTTCAAAACCTCAAGACCGTCTGAGAGAGAAAATTTCACCTCATCCCTGATTTAACTTGATGCTCCCTGTCTTTTTGTAAAACATTGGTCCCCTATTCCAGATTCTCGCCTAAGGGAAATCATCCTCTCCACATTTACCCGAAGAAGTCCTGTCAGAATCTTTTATGTTTCAATCAAGTCACTTGTCAGTCTTCTAAGTTCCAGCAGATATTAGCCTAACCTGTCCGGTCTGTTTTCATATAACAAGCTATTCATTCCAGGTATAAGTCTGGTAAACCTTCTCTGCATGGCTTGCAGACATTTGCATTCTTAAAATAGGTGACCTATACTGTAAATGGTATTCCAGATATGGATCCACCAATGCCCTAGATAACTGAAACTTGTGATAAATAATGATATTCCATTAGCTTTCCTAATTTCTTGCTGTATCTGCTTGCTAACCTTTCGTAATTCCTGCATTAGGACACCCAGATCCCTCTGCAACCTCTCACCATTAAGATGATACAGTGCTTTTCTTATCGTTTCTGCCAAAATAGGCGATTTCACATTTTCCCATAATACACATCATTTGCCACATATTTGTCCACTCACTTCAATCTATATGCATTTTTCTGAAGCCCCCTCACTTTCCTACCTATATTTGTGACATCGGCTTGGACAGTTTTGGCAACAGTATCTATCTGTCCTTCCATCCAAATCATTTCTAAAAATTGTAAAAAGCTTACGTCCCAGCACTAATCCCTGTGGCATGCCACATGCTACATCTTGAACACATCACATATGGATACCTCATCCTTTGGTTCAGTGCCAACTATTGTTTTGTTCCGTTTCTGTTAAATGCCTTGGTATATATTTACAAAATTAAAGGCACTATAAAAATGCAAGTTGGCTTTGTTCTTGCAAATTGCTCCTGATTGATAGTGTGTGGTTCTGGAATGATCCTGATGTGTCAGGTTTAAGGATTCAGATAATTTTCTTTGAATTGACCTCCACACGAAGACCTGAGGTTTCTTTTTTGCTTCAATTGAGTAACTATAATAGAGTCAGAGAGTCGTACAGCATGGCAGCAGACCCTTAGGTCCAACAAGTCCATGCCGAATAGTCCCAAACTAAACTAGTCCCATCTGCTTGTGCTTGGCCTACATCCCTCCAAACCTTTCCTATTCATGTACTTATCCAAATGACTTTTAAATGTTGTAATTGCACCCACGTCCACCACTTCAGCCTATTTCTCTGTGCAAAATGTTGTTTTACTTCCTAAGATTAACTTTTTTTGCATAATATTTTAATATCTTTTGCTGGCAGTCTGACTGAATGCAGAGTGCGAACCTGTGCAAGACCTCAAGGAAAGCCCTGAAATTGAAAATGTTTCCTTGTGTGTCAATGCATCTGGTCTGCATTGGGCAACACTCCAGAAGTGAATCATTGAAGTCAGAAACATTATGGGAAAACTAGTGCTGTAATTCTCAGGTTTTCTAGATTTGGAAGGTCCTGTTGGCTTTGCTTTCTACTTTGGGGTTGATTGGCTAGCATACAGAAAATTCACTTTATGACCTCCAAGCATTCATTATTGAATATTTTAAGATTTATTTTTACTCAACCCATTTGGGCATGCTATGAGACACCTATAGGGAAGGTGGGATTTGAATCAAGGCTTCTGGCCCATGGTAGGGACACTACTAATGCACCACAAAAACTGTATTATTGAATCTGTATGCTGATCATGATTGTAGATTGCTGGCCCAGGACAATGGAAGAGGTTAGATGCTTTACAGTGGTTGTAACTGGGAATTCAGGTTCTCAAAATTCCTAGTTTTGAGAAATGATTTTTCCCCTAGATTGTTCATTCACAGAATCACAGAATTGTTATTGCACAGAAGGCGGTCGTTCAGTCTGTTGTGCCTGCACCATTCTATTACTTACTGCTGATGTCCTGCCCTTTCCCCATATCCCTGTACACCCTTTCTAGCCAAATAATCATGAATTGAATGTTTTATATGTTGCCAATTTGCCGAAAAGTACAAAGCAAAGTCATAAGGAACTCTTGAATGCCTCAATTGAGCATGTAAACTTAATTGTATCTTGATAAATATAGAATCGTTATCACCCAGCACAATTGTTTTAGAATCTTCATTTTAAAGCAAAAGACACCTTTAACAAAAATAATTCCTTGATATTGATATTTTCTAATCGACCTGTTCAGAGATGTTATTACATACTTCTGGAACAGGTGGGACTTGTACCTAGGCCTCCTGACTCAGTGGTAGGACACTACCACGGCACCACAGAGACCCTAAATTCCTTGATATAATATTTTCTAGTCAACCTGTTCAGAGATGTTGTTACACACCTTTGGAGCAAGTGGGATTTGAACCCAAGCATCCTGCTCGGAAGCCGGGTCAATTCCCCTGCATCACGTCTTATGTTTCTTGATATATTTGAGTGCTTAATATAGGGCAGATGAAAATGGTTTTATTTCAAAAATAAGTATTTAAATCACTGTTTAATTCACTATCTATGAGGTTACTTTTTAAAAATAACCTTTTAAAAACTGTGCAGAACCTTTTGCTACATTGCTGTACCACAGTTAGTTTCTTAGTAAATTACAGATAAGAGCAAATAAGTCTTGTTTCAGTTGTACAGAACACTAGTGAGATCACATTGGAGAATTGTAAGTTCCGGTGCCCCTGCCTAATTCAGGATATACTTGCCAAAAAGGGAGTGCAGTCGAGGTTCACCAGACTGATTCCTGGGATAGTACTACAGTGTTATGAGGAGAACTATAGGAGACTGGGCCTGAATCCTTTGAAGATTGAAGAATGAGATTTGTCTTCATAGAAACATAAAAACTTCATAATAGGTTAGACATCCTCCCTACAGAAAGTATGTTTCACGTGGCTGTGGGTTCAAGAACCAGTCATGCAGCCTCAACAAAAGCCAAGCCATTTAGAATTGAAATGAGGAGAGCTGTGGAGGTTCAGGCATTGAGTATGTTCGAGACTGAAATTGATAATTTCTTATTACTGATGACATTGAGGGTTGTGGGAATAGTACTGAGAATATGGCATTGACGTAGAATCAATCACGAACTGAAAGGCAGACAGCCTCAGGATACTGAATGGCCTAGTGCTGACACTTGACTAATAAAGACAACTATCCGTCATGCATTCTTAACACCTTACTGATCTGTCGGTACCTCCAAGAATCTTTGAACATGCCCACCAAGGTCCCTCTGATCCGCTATACTTCCTGGGGTCCTGCCGTTCAATGTGTACTCTCTTGCCTCGTAAGTCCTACCAAAATTTATCACCTCTCGCATTTCAAGATTAAAAACCCACAAGAGACTTCATAGGTGGATGCTTGAGAAATGTTTGCTCTTGTTAGGGAAATCAAGAACTTGGGTTCACGATTTTGAAATAAGGTGTCTCCTTGTAACACTGAGCTGAGATTTTCTTTTTCTCAGAGTTGTTAGTCTGCACAATTCCTTTCCCTAGAAAGCGTTGGTGGTTGGACCATTGAATTCATCCAAGGCAAAGTTAGATTTTTGATTGATAGGAGCCAAGCGTTAGGACATGAGACAGGAAATTTGAGTTGAGTCTACACCAGATCAATCATGATTTTATTGAATGCTGAACCAGGCTTGAACAGCCAAAGGCCTAACCATAGAATCTTAAGTACAGTGTTCCCCTTTTGTCTAGACTAATATCAATGTTGCGTTTGTGGATGTTCAGTTTTCAAGTGGAATGTTAAACTGATCAGATTGTTTTAAAAGATTATTAGAAGAAAACTACAATTTTTCCCCAGTGTGCTGGTCCAAATCCTCCCCTCAGCTAATGGAATTTCATATGCTGAGATTGTGATAGGGTTGTGGTGCATGTTCACCCTTGTTTGCCCATCACTCTCTTTATTTCTTTGTCTACTGGAATTTCATGTTCGATTAAACATGTTGTTTTCTGCTCTTGTGCACAGAATGAATCAGATGCAGCAAGAAAAAGAATTGACAGATAACATTTTAAAAGTCGTAAGTTTTACATTTGCCCTCTTATTGTTTTGAAAAATAGCTGTTAAGTAATATTACATTTTCTTAGTTTGTATTCATTCATGGAATATTGTTTTGGTGGAAAGGTAAAGAAAATTCAATCTGTGAAGACACTTGTGTTTTGAAGCATTAGAAAATAGAAAATATGGATATTTTAGTTCTCCTCCCTATGACATACATGCTTTTGCAACCCGTGGTTGACTCAGCTGGAGTATGTGATCTGCCTCTGAAGTTGCTGAATGAATCTTTCAGTGCAATATATGATTGACCCTTTATCCTCTGACAATAAATTAATACTTCAGGAAATTCAGGGCCTTACGAGCTCCTGGAATAGCCACCCTGATCGGTTGGAGAAGCATTTCCCACATTATGTCTCTCCTCCTTCTATTCCTCCTCCTCTTTCTCACCTCCCACCCCGTTTGTCATCTGATTGTTTTACCTTTCCAAGGTATTGCATGGCTTTGGGTGAGATGGATAGCTACAGAGACAAGGTGCCACAGTTATGTGGGGCAGGTTGGATGGATTAGAGCATCTTTATCTGGCCATCGTTGTTCATATGTAGGAATTTATTTAAACTATATGCCCAGTACTTTATAATACCACAAAATCCTTGCTATCCAGTTTCTTGAAAGACTGGTTCTGGAAAATCACAGCAATCTCTGAGCGGTCAGTACCACTGTTGCACTTTCGTTATACTCTTGTAAGTGTCCAAGGGTTCTTGTGACACTCTTTTCTGTATTTTATATTTTTTTTGTAGCAAATCCCCATGGATTTGTCCATGTTAAGACCAGAATATAATTGATAACACATGCAAAATAGAACATCCTGATCATTTGTTGGCATTGGATTATTGTATTTGTTGCTGCATTAACTGTACATGGAAATGCTAATTTATTATGATGTGGTGGATCAAAAGTTGCTGCACAGCTTTTATTTAAAGTGGGATCTGTTGAAAGAGAGGCCCTTGTAGGATATGTAAGTCCCTTTATCTGAAGATGAGATCAGAACTGAATCAACTGTGTTGGCAGCCTTTCTTGGATCATAGATCATAGAATCCCTACAGTGTGGAAACAGGCCCTTCGTCCCAATAAGTCCACTCCAACCCTCAGAGCATCCCACCCAGAACCATCCCACATAACCCACCTAATCTACACATCCCTGAACACTATGGGAAATTTAGCACGGCCAATCCACCTAGCCAGCACACCTTAGGTCTGTGGGAGGAAACCAAAGCACGCGGAGGAAACCCACGCAGACACGGGAAGAATGTGCAAATTCCACACAGACAGTCGCCCGAGGGTGGAATCGGACCCAGGTCCCTGGTGCTGTGAGGCAGCAATGCTAACCACTGTGCCACCGTGCCGCCGGTATCCCCTTTCTGGAACAATATCTGATCTCTGATGATTCTCCTCTATTCTGACCATTCTAAAGTTGTTTGAGGGAATTACGAAGTGAAACATAAACTTGTTTGGAAGGCATTTTCTTAGTAATAAAACAACTAAATGTCAAAGGCCTGATATGAACTAAAAGAATAGCCGTGAAGTTCTGTTGAAACTCCAAAGACATACCTTCCTAAAATGTGTAAAGATTCTGTAATTAAGTTATTTCAGAGCAAATGGCCATTTTTAGACTACCAGGGCAAAACCTGAATATTGCTGAAAACACATTTGTCAAAGCTTTTCATCTTGCGCTCATCAGGCCAATTCATAAGCAATGCCAATGTAAGGGGAAAACCACATTTATACTATATGAGAAGAGCGTGCTAATTTGTTGACAAATGGACTCCGAATAGTAAAGATACCACCTTGGAGAGTGCATGTTAGATGATTACTGATTACTGACAGTTAGCTGCCAAGATCTGGTTAAATTTTAAGCCAGGTAAGTTGCCTGTAGTCAAGGTATTGTCCAGAAAAGTGGCTCTCACCTGTACTGTTGAGTTGAAACAAACACAGTGTACATATTCTTTCTGTTTGCAAATAAAAGAAGCCTTGTATCTATTTTAGTAGTTTTCAATATGTTAAGACCAAAATTTCAAAATTAGCTGATGAAAACAAAGTTGGAGGTGTGGCAAATGGTGACGACGATGACGGGATTATTGATAGCAGGCTAGGACAGAAGAGAAGCTGAATAAATCATAATGAGAGCTGACAGTAGGAGAGAATGGGCAGGCTGTGCTGAAAGCAACCTATGTCATGACAAGACCAGGGTTTGGGGTGGGTTTTAAAAAAAAATGGAAGAACAGACTCAGACTGTAAAGTTATTGAATTCTCCGTTGAGTCTGAAAAGCTGCAGGGTCCCCAAGTAGAAAACGAGATCCTGTTCTTTGAGCTTATGTTGAGACTTGCTGGAGCACAGCTTTAGGCCTGTGGTAGAAATGTTGGCATGGGAACACAGTGGTGTGTTGAAGTGGCAAGCAACTGGAAGCTTAGAGCCATTTTTATGGACAGAATGTAGGTGTTCTGCAAATCAGCTACCTGGTCTGCATTTCATCTCCCCAGTTTGGAAGCAACCACGCTGTGAACACCCCTTGCCACCCTAGTTTAAACCCCCTAAGTGGAACTAGCAAATCTCCTGTCCTCCTTGTACCGGTCCCATCTGCCATGGAGGAGATGGGACCAGTACAAGAAGGACAAGAGATGAATCCAGATATCTGAAGCCCTCCCTCCTACACGAACTCATCAGCCATGCGTTCAACTGTATTATCTTCCTGTTTTTGGCCTCATTAGCATGTGGGACAAGGGATAATCCTAAGATTATAACCCTGGAGGTCCTGCTTTTCAACTTTCTACCTAACCCCCTAAATTCTATATACAGGAGATACAGAGTTAAACCTTTGGACAAAAGATGGAGAGGGCATGTAGAACAAACTACACACATTCTGTGATAATGGAACTTGCTGCTCAAGAAGGTGGTACAAACAAAGACTGTCAATGATTTAGAAGGGAATTTGCACATCTGTGGAGGTGAAACAGAGGTATTGGACTGCTCCACAGAGAGATTGCATAGGCTTGATTGGCTGAATGGAGGCCTTCTCTGCTGAACATGACTGACTGACAATCCTGTGGTTGGACACATTGAACAGAAGGGCATCTTTTCTGTGAAGATTTCGGGTCAGGAGGTATTTGGGAAGCTGTCATTGTGTATGCCATGATTAAGAGGCAGTTTACCTCATGTGCAATCCAGTTTTGACCTATTCACTACTTCAACCCTGCTAATCCTGTGCAGCCTTCCACCTTTTAAGACCTCCTCAAACTCAATATGCTCAACTTTGATTTAGCATTTGTTTATATCGTGCTATTTGAAATGCTGTCCCAGATCCTTGGTACAGCAGCCATGATCATTAGATTGCCACTATAGTCATAAATTTCCTTTGCCTTGACGCTGCTGTACTTTTCTACTGTAATGTCTTCTGATTGTAGCTTTCACAGAAATGTGATGCATGTCTTGTGGAACTCTCATCAGCGGAGCATGGATGGGCTACATCCCCTTGTAATGGCAGTAGCTGTTTGTTGTAAATTTAAAGGTCCTGATTAAATGTTAATGAGTGGATGCATGGGTGAGATGATTCAGTGAGTAAGTTGTTGATGTGAAAGGGAGGGCTGGTAGTTGGATCGGGATGGTAATCGAGTCAAGTTAGTTAGGTAGTTCTGAGGGAATAATCAGGTTAATCTGATGTTGCCTTCAGAACTTGAAAATTGCAATTCCCATTCCTGTTCACTTATCAGGATTTCCACAAGGTCCCAATGTGCATCATTGGCTGTATATCTGTTCTTGATAATCTGAATTAAATACTTTTACTGTATTCAAAAAATCAAATGCAAGTAGTAGTACTGTAGTTACTGAAGAGAGCAGTAAAGAAGCTGGTGAACCCACTATATTAATGGATTTGAATTGCAAGTAGTCAAGTGACTCAACTAAATAGATTTCACCTGGCTGAGGGAAGATCCCTCCAAGGTACCAACTGCTAGTTTATTGTTTTGAGACGGTATTTGAGTTTCCCTTTGCTCTTACTGTCGAGTTGTGTTGACTCTGTCCTATGTATAGAACCAAAAATAGAACTTTCAAACCCACGGATGTCCAAATGAAATCCAGTTTGAACTCTAGTCACTGTCATAATGTTATAATGTTAAAGGGTTCAGAAAAGATTTACAAAGATGTTGCCAGGATTGGAGGGTTTGAGATAAAGGGAGAGGCTGAAGAGGCTGAGACTTCTTTCCCTGGAGTGTCGGAGGCTGACCTTAAAGAGGTTTATAAAATCATGAGGAACATGGATCGGGTGAATAAGCCAAGGTCTTTTACCCAGGGTGGGGGAGAACAAAACTAGAGTACATAGGTTTAAGGTAAGAGGGCAAAGATTTAAAAGGGACCCGAGGGGTAACTTTTTGGCATAGATGGTGGTGCATGTATGAAATGAGCTGTCAGTGGAGGTGGGGTCAATTACGACATTTAAAAGTCATCTGGATGGGTATATGAATAGGAAAGGTTTAGAGGGATATGGGCCAAATGCTGGCAAATGGGACAGGATTAGTTTAGGATATCTGCTCAGTGCAGATGAGTTGGATTGAAGGGTCTGATTCCATGCTGTATAACTCTATGACTGTATAATGAGGGAAAAATGACAGCCATTTTATATATAGTGAGTTCCAAGAAATCCCTGTAAAATAAATGACCAGATCATCTGCCTTGTATGCAGCTTGTCGACTCTCAGATGGTGAGGGCAATGTGGGAGGTCAGACCACCATGAGAGGTTTACACTGAGGTTACTCTAAAGGAGCCAAATCATACGTTGCAGCACATCTGTTTGAAAATGATTTCAATTCAAAGCATTTCCCCTGCGAGCAAAATGGAGTAGGATATGACTGCCGGTTATAGCATTGGGATCAGCCGTCACTTCCTGTTGCTGTATCCTCTGTACACCTGAGAAATTTGCACCACTGTTAGTAGGGGCTGCTGGCCCCTTTTCTTCTTGGCTACTTTGAATGATCCTCCTCTATCTGTTAGCTGTCTGCCATCCCTATTTTGACAAAGAATACAGGCTATTTCCTATGAGTTGCCGTTTGAGGTCAGTCACAAACAGGGTCCAGATTTAGAAGTGATCCTGTTGCCCAGAAATGACATATCTTGAGGTCTATCTTTGGATTCCAAATTCACTGGGTATTGTTCAGTAAAATCAGATCAACACAGCTTAACCTGATATAAGCAGCTTGCATTATTCCAATTGAAGATACATGTAAAGTCTAATTTTTCTGCAAATAGCTAAAGGAACAGGCTGGAGACTCCATTCTGGTTTTGGAGAGAGCACTTCAGTTGACTACAGATCTCCATGTACACACCATGAGAACGCTGGACCTGATAGCAGCAGAACCTTGCCTGGCAAATGGAGAAACCGAGAGTTCAACGGCTGGATTATGCATCAGTGTGGATGAAATGCATTGCCAGGTAATTCTCAGAAAACTTGCCATGTTTCCTGTTAAACAGCTTGTGTAAGGAGGGGAAGACAAAATTGCACCACTACATTGTGCTGTAGAAGTCCAAGTTGGCTAATATTTATTTTCCGTTTGCAATTTGGTCTTAAGGTCAAGTAAAAATATAAATGAAAGAATGTGGTTATACTGAAAAAAGCAGATATTTAATGATAGACAACAATTGAGTACTGACCTTGTGGTTTGCTGCAAGTGTTATGTTTCATTTGTACGTGGATAATCCTTGTATATTGGCCACTCAAACTTTTCTTAGACTCATACAGCATGAAAATACCCTTTGGTCCAATGCATCCACGCCAACCAGACATCCCAAACTGACATTAGTCCCATTTTCAAGCATTTGGCCCATATCTCACTGAAGTCTTCCTATGCATTTACTACCCATCCAGATGTCTTTTTAATGTTTTATTTGTACCCACCTCCACCACTTCCTCTGGCAGCACATTCCATACATGCACCACCCTCTGCATGAAAAAGTTACCTGTCAGGCCCATTTTAAATCTTTCCCTTCTCACCTTAAACCTATGCCGTCTAGTTTTGGACACCCCACCCTAGGAAGATAAGGTTGGCTATTCACCCTATCCATAACTCTCATGATTTTTTTTATAAACCTCTATAAGGTCACCCCTCAGCCTCCAATGCTCCAGAGATAAAAGCCCCAGCCTATTCAGCCTGTCCCTATAACTCTCAAACCCTCCAGTCTTCACTTTTAGCTTCCACCCATTTCCTGCATACGGACTGTGTCCAGTAGTTCCAATGCACTATATTTGACTGGACTGAATAAGTAGTAAACATAGAATTTCCTCTGAATTAAGCTTGTAGTATTGGGACATTGATTCTGTATCGTAAATACTATCCTGCGTTGAGAATTGAGTAAGTCTACTGGGGAGCTGTTGAACTAAGAAAAGTTTTAATGGAGTATATAATGGCACAGCCATTTGTTCATTCCAGTCATCTGTTGACTACTGTGCAAGACAACTAATTCACAGTTTTTCCTGGCCCATCCCAGAGTTTCTTCTTAAGTTCCTTGAAAGTGGAGTCACACTTAGACAGGATAATAAAGAAGGTGTTTGGTATGCTTGCCTTTATGGGTCAGTGCATTAAGTATAGGAATTGGGAGGTCATGTTATAGCTGTACAGGACATTGGTTAGACCACTATTGGAAAACTGCATGCAGTTCTGACCTCCCTGCTATAGGAAGGATGTTGTGAAACTTGAAAGGATTCAGAAAAGATGTACAAGGATGTTGCCAGGGTTGGAGGGTTTGAGCTATAGGGAGACACTGAATAGACTTGGGCTATTTCCCCTGGAGTGTCGAGGCTGAGGAGTGACTTTTATAGAGGTTTATAAAATCATGAGGGACATGGATAGGGTAAATTGACAAGGTCTTTTCCCTGGAGTGGGGGAGTCCAAAACTAGAGGGCATAGGTTTAAGGTAAGAGGGGAAGATTTAAAAGGGATCTAAGGGGCAACCTCACGCAGAGGGTGGTGCTTGTATGGAATGAGCTGTCGGAGGAAGTGGTGGAGGCTGGAACAATTACAACATTTAAAAGGCATCTGGATGAGTATATGAATAGAATATGAATATGAATCCCACTTCCTACAGACAAAGAGGGTGGCCATGGGTACCCGCATGGACCCAAGCTATGCCTGCCTCTTTGTAGGTTACGTGGAACAATCCCTCTTCGGTAGCTACACTGGCCCTAAACCCCACCTCTTCCTCTGTTACATTGTTGACTGTATCGGCGCCGCCTCGTGCTCCCACGAGAAGCTCGAACAGTTCATCCACTTCACCAACACCTTCCACCCCAACCTTAAGTTCACCTGGACCATCTCTGATACCTCTCTCTCCTTCCTGGACCTCTCTGTTTCCATCTCTGGCAACCACCTGGAAACCGATATCCATTTCAAGCCCACCGACTCCCACAGCTACCTAGAATACACCTCCTCCCACCCACCATCCTGCAAAAATGCCATCCCCTATTCCCAATTCCTTCGCCTCCGCCGCATCTGCTCCCAGGATGGGGCATTCCACTCCCAAACATCTCAGATGTCCTCGTTTTTCAAGGACTGCGACTTCCCCCCTCCTCAGTGGTCGAGAACGCCCTCGACCGTGTCTCCCGCATTTCCCGCAACTCATTCCTCACACCCTGTCCCCACAATAACAACCAAAACAGAATCCCCCTCGTCCTCACGTACCACCCCATCAACCTCTGGATCCAACACATCATCCTCCAACACTTCCGCCATCTGCAATCCGACCCCACCATCAAAGACGTTTTTCCCTCCCCACCCTTATCTGCTTTGTGGAGGGACTACTCGTGACTCCCTTGTCTGCTCCACACTCCCCTCCAGCCCCACCACACACGGCATGCAACTGCAGGAAGTGCTACACCTGCCCTTACACCTCCCCCCTCACCCCCATCCCAGGCCCCAAGGAGACTTTCCACATCAAGCGGATATTCACCTGCACATCTGCTAATGTGGTATACTGTATCCGCTGTTCCCGTTGTGACCTCCTCTACATCGGGGAAACCAAGCGGAGGCTTGGGGACTGCTTTGCGGAACATCTACGCTTTGTTCGCACTAAACAACTGCACCTCCCAGTCGCGAACCATTTCAACTACCCCTCCCATTCCTCAGACGACATGTCCATCTGGGCCTCCTGCAGTGCCACAACGATGCCACCCGAAGGTTGCAGGAACAGCACCTCATATTCCGCTTGGGAACCCTGCAGCCAAATAGTATCAATGTGGACTTCACAAGCTTCAAAATCTCCCCTCCCCCTACCACATCCCAAAACCAGCCCAGTTTGTCCCCGCCTCCCTAACCTGTCCTTCCTCCCACCTATCCTCTCCTCCCACCTCAAGCCCCACCCCCTTCTCCTACCTACTAGCCTCATCCTGCCCCCTTGACCTGTCCGTCCTCTCTGGACTGACCTATTCTCTCCCTAACTCCCCACCTACACTCACCTTTACTGGCTCCATCCCGCCTCTTTGATCTGTCTGTCTCCTCTCCACCTATCTTCTCCTCTATCCATCTTCTATCCGCCTCCCCCTCTCTCCCTATTTATTTCAGAACCCCCTTCCTCTCCCCCATTTCTGAAGAAAGGTCTAGGTCCGAAACGTCAGCTTTCCTGCTCCTCTGATGCTGCTTGGCCTGCTGTGTTCATCCAGCTCTACACCTTGTTATCTCGAGTATCTGAATAGGACTGGTTTAGACGGAAATGGGCCAAATGCTGGAGTATGGGACTAGATTAATTCAGGATACCTGGTTGGCATGGATGAGTTGGACCGAAGAGTCTATTTCTGTGCTGTATATTTGTGACTCTAAGTTTTTCTTTTGGAGTATTGTTTTTCATCTGCCATCTTCCAAACAGCGACATCCTCAATAGATTTTAAAATGGTTCATTTTGAACCTCTGTCATCTCTTATTTCTCCCAGCCCTTTTGGGTGTGAAACTACCTTTAACATGTCCAGCCTAAGTCTGAGCACCTGTTTCAGCAAACTTATCCCACCAAATTTCCTTCAAACCTCTCCTCCCTTGACAGCTTCATAATTGTACAGCCTTCATGTGAAAACCTAAACAAAGCACCTGTTCAGTTTTCTTTTTGCCATTTTCCTAACACGAGACGTTTACTGATATCTCACTGGAGCTCCATACCATGGCCCAAGTGTCCACAAAACGTACGAAATAGGAGCAGGAGTAGACAACTCATCCCCTCCAGCTTGCTCTGCTATTCGATACGATCGTTGCTGATCTCATCTCGGCCTCACCTTCCATTTTTCTGCCTGCTGTCCGTAATCCTTCAAGGCATTACTGATTAATAAATTACTAATTCTATCTCCTCCTTAAATTTACACTGTTCTGGCATCCACTCTACTTTAGGTAGTGAATTCCATGGATTCACAACTTCTGAGAGAAATGATTTCTCCTACTCTCTGTTCTAAATCTGCTACCTTTTTTGTCCTGAAACTATGACCTCTTGCTCTAAAAAGACTTCCTGTGTCCACCATACTTTCTGTAGGTTCTCATTCATTCCTTCCTTGCCCTTGTATTTCCTATCTTTAACTTATTGTACTCTGTGCATTTGCTATGTGCTTACTGGCACTGAAATAGACTATTCATCCTAACAGGTCTATGCCAATATTCATACTTCACGCTAACCTCCTCCCATCCTCCTTCATTTAAATTCATCAGCATAACCTTCTGTCCCTTTCTCTCTCATTTGCTTATTTAGCTTCCCTTTAAATGCATCAATGCAAGTTCAGCAATACTCTGGATAAAGAACTTTTTCTTAAATTGCTTATTGTATGGTCTTTAGTTTTCACCTGCAGGTGGGAAAATCTCAATCTGTACCATATCAAATCCTTTCATTATTTTAAAGACCTTTATGTTAAGATCACCTCTCAGTCGAAGGAAAAGTACCCCAACTTGTTTAGTATTTCCTGACAAATATAATCTTTTCATTGTTCAATCATCATAATAAGCTTTTTTTTGACCACCTCCAATGTACGCGTTTCCTTTTCATAATATGAAGTCCAGAAATGTTCACAGTGCTCTAAATGTGGACTAACCGAGGTTTTCTACAAGACTAAAATAAATTTTCTGTTCTTCAATTCTGTCCTTTGAGAAATGAACCTCATTGCTTTTTTTACTGGCCTTGCTAATCTGCATCACTACTTTAGTGATTTGTATGTCTGTACCTCCTCCAGATCCTTTTGCTTCTCTATCCTATTCAGCCAATTACCTGCCAAGGAGTATAACGCACCCCTTTTCTTCCCATCAAAATATATTATTTCACTAACCTGCAACATCATGTTTCTCCTATCAACACTGCAAGAACCAAATAGTTCACATTCAAATCTCAGTCAATCCAAGTTCCCGCTCCATAGCCCCATACTTCAATGCATATTCTTTTCACATTCGACAGCAATAAACATGATCCATGTTTCTGTTATCTCATCCCAACACACCCTATCACTGACCTACACTACCATTCTAGTTTTTTGTTGCACCTGAGCTAACTTGATATACAGTGGACACCAAATTGCTGCTTTCAAAAGTAAAAACAAAACAAAAACAAGAATGCATTGTTTTCATTTCAGATTTCCTGCATCACAGTATTTTTGCTTTTGAGTTAGTTGTGAGAAAATTGTTTTGGTGTTTAAATATTGCTTCAGTGCAGGTTTAGCCTTTGAGATTTCAAGAACTAAATGAAGTTTACGAATTGATCATGTGCGAGTGTATTGCATTTTTACATGAACCATATGGCCAATTAGAACTCCATTCAATTACATATTGCAGACATTATGTATTCCAGTTAACACTGCAGATGTGAATGTATTGTTGCAAATACTTTGTTATTACAGTTTTCAACCATGACCTCTAATCACGGAGCAAAGACCTCTACTCAGATCAAATATACTTAATTTGCATACATTTTATAATGTATATTTTATAAAATACTAATTAGGAAAGATTTAACTGTAATAGTTTCTGGTAATATTTGTACATTAGCTTATGCATAGTTATTTTTAAATGCAATTATATTTTACCTAAGTGATTCTACAATTGTGTCTGAACGTTTATACTAACACGTCAGTAAATTCAAAGCATGTATATGTTCTTTACAACAGTAATTGAAAGAGTGTTTAAATTTGCCACCAATTTTTTTTTAAATTACAGGTTTGTTATGATCTGGGTACAGTATTCTTCAGTCAAGGATCTTCAAACCCCACAGCCTATGAGAAAGCAAAGGAACACTTATTCAAAACCAGTGAACTGCTCTCAAAGGTACGCTGCAAAATAGCTCATTGCCATTTATCACTATGTAACTGTTACTTTCTCTAGTACATTATTCATACCTACAAACCATGATATTAACAGGCACAGCAGAAGACTATCAAAGCTAAATCTGATCATATTCTCTCCTGCTGCCTAGAAATGCTTTTTCATAGGGACTGAATCTTTAGCTGAGCTTGTAAGGCACAGCTCAGGAATTAATCCCAGAATCTTGCTTGTTTATATTGCTGCTCCATTCACTGTCTTGACCTACTGAAATTTCCAACTGAATTCTTATAGGCTGGATTTTCTCTTCAGCAGTGTAGAAGTGAAATGCTCTGCCAATCTTAAAGAAAGAAATCTACTCTTGAAAGATTTAGCAATTTCTACACTGCAGAAATCCTTTCCCAACATTAGTTTATTAATGACACAAGTTGAGGCAAGCTCAACCATCCATCAGCAGTGATGCAATCATACAAAGCAAGCAGCAAATCACCATGAAGCATTCTTACAGATAGCGAGAAGGAAGTTTAAAACCACATAATCCCTCCAATTATAATTTTAAATTTTTACAGATAAATTATTTGAACGTACACGTGGAATTAATAGAGTTGTTAGTAGATAAAAATATACAATTTTTAGAAAAATATATTTCAAAAATTTTATTATCTCAAAATGGAGAAATTGAGTATTCAGCATGAATTTTTCAGCTTGAATAAGCCTATTCAGCAATAGTTATGGACTAAGTACCTAAGTACCCAGCTACATCTCATTACAGCAAGCTGTAACATTTCAAGGCTTTCTCTGTTTCACTGTAGAGTGTTAGGTTCTTGCAAGTTCGATAACTTTCAATTTTTTAAAATGAATTGACCAGATGTGGATGCTACTGGCAATACCTGAACTTGATTACACGTCTTGGATTGTCCTGAAGAAGATAGTGACAAGCCACTTTCTTGAATAAAGCTGAGTGCCTTACTAGGGCAGTTAAGCATTGACCACTTTGGAGAACTGGAGTCACATACAGGTCAGACAGAGTAAATCTGGCAGATTTCTTTCTCTAAAGGACGTTAATGAGTCAGATGGGTTTTCAACATTCCATTATTGATGCTTGTCTTTAATTCCAGTCTTATTTAATGAACAAAATTGAAATTTTCCAGCTGCTCATTACCGGACCAACAACATATCTGCTATATTAATATACCTGACTGCCAACAGAAGCTCAGCAGCTCCCCCTCTGCACGTGTGTAGAATTACTAATAGCCTCTCCTGGATTTCCATATTAATTGCACATGTGCAGGAATTGCTATCAGTTGCAGAGGAGTAATGATGGGAAATGCTAACATTTGTCTTCTATCATTAGTAGCACAATAACTGCTTTGATGGAGATCAAAGTTTATTGTAGCATTAGTGTCTTGTTCTGTCAACTAAGAAATCCAAGTGAATACTGTGATACGCTCTAGGTCCTAGAAAGTTACTATTTTGATCTTTGTTTAGAAATATGCCATACAGGTAGACAGAGAAATTAGTGAACCAGGGTACAGTACTAGTGATGCTTGTGGGTGCTATTTGTGGATTACACCTCCATGCAAGAGCAGCATAGACGTAAGGGCATTATTTGTGTTGGGAGAGAGCTGTGGAGGTTGAAATAAATTGAAGAAAAAATCTATAGAATTTTTTGTTTTCAAGAAGCAAACTACTTTGTTTACTTTTGATGTGTTTCACTTTCTTAAAAAAAAATCTCTTTGTAGATTGGACCTGACCCTGTTCACTGTCGAATTGACCGGAGGAGATTAGATGGTTACTGCCAGGCTTGTGCAGTGTTAACAACACCATCTGATACAAATGAACTGCAACTGACAACATATGGTCGGGTTCACCACTGCATTAAATCCAGTAACTATCAGGTATAGTTGTAGCTGTGTAATGTGACATTTTTCTTTTTATTTTAATGCACTATCAATAAAGTAACTTGCTGCTACAATACTGTTGTAAAATTAATGCATTCATGTGCTCTAACATGTCTAACTACCAAGAGCAAAGTTTCCCAATGACCTTTATGGAAGATGCATCAGTAGCAACCTTAAAATATGACTGTCTATAGCTTTCAGTATACTTGTTATTGGAAGCTGTGGCTGGAACCAATTTTTTGCCCGCTGGTGTAATCCAATGCACTCTGACTGACCTTGGAGCTGTTGCCCAGTTAAAGCATCAAAATAAATACGCAACAAAATCTTTACAAATTCTTCCATATCTAAATTAATCCTCTTTTAACTTCCATTATGCGTGATGTATTCTTGCCCTATGCACAATTATATGCATTGAAAAACCACAAAATAAAATGAGTGAGAGAATGACACAGTGAAAGATAGGTTTGAAATTAACATGACTGTGACCGCCTCCTCTGTGCCATCCCAAACGATATTGGTTCAACATGCTATGATAAGACTATCAGTTTATAGTTGTAAAGTAAAGCTAGATTAAGAAATTTACTTCATTGGATGCAGTAGTTGATTTAAAGATAGCTGTTAGCTCTGCCATGTGTTCTCTATTAGCAATTCATAAACTACATTCCAAAAATAGTTGAGACATTGCTAGTGAAACCAGCATTTGTTGCCCATCCCTAATTCTCCTTGAACTGAATGGCTTACTGGGTCATTTGGAGGGTATTTAAGAGTGAACCACATCATTGTGGGTCTGAAGTCATATGTAGGCCAAACCAAATAAGAAAGACCAATTCCTTCACTACAGACATTTGTGAACAACATATGTTTTTAAGACAAGCGATGATCGCTTTATATACAGATTTATTAATTGAATTTACATTCTAGTAACTGTGGTGGCAGACCACCTGGATTACTAATCCAATGCCATACCACTATGCACTAACAAATAGAATGTATGCTTTTGATGGGATGTGTGTCTGCTGGCACAAATATGCAATGATTTTTCAAGTAAAGATGCTGGAATTGTGGAGTAATTATCATTTTATAATAAAAGCTCAATTTTATTTATTCAGCAACTGCTGATCAATCCTCCTGCTTTGTACTAATTTCCTTTCACAATTCTGAATTAAGATCCATTAAGCAATGGATTTCCATTCACTTTCCATTGTGCATTATATAGAAGAAATGTAGTAAAACAGTTGTTCTTGTTAAATCGTTCTTCTTTAAATTTTACAGGGATTAATTGAGATTTTTCTTGAAGACAACATAACTTTAAGCTTGTTGTCACACTTCAGGCAGTCTGTCCTCAGAGAGCTTTACCAAATGGCTCAAAATGGGTAAGGATGTTTACAACTTCGTCTATGTTTAGAAATAGTACTGATGTTGGCTTGCACAACAATTATTATTTGTCTTGGCGTGGGAGAGGGAGAGAGAAGCAGTCAACTTGTATGCTTACTGGCCTACAGGGCATGAGCACTGGGGAACAGAATTCAGTTTGCACCCAGTATTAGCATCGGACATACAAATATAACATGAACTAGAAGCTAAGAAAAGTTCTCACGTTCTCTCTCAACAAAGCTGCCATTTTAGGCACTGCAAATCAACTTGACCTTTAAGGCCTTAAGAAATCGTTCCAAAAATATGGGTTGGTTTGTATACCAAATATAAAGTGTGTAGGTAATCACCATTTTGAAATGTGAAATAAAAGCACAATGCCAGTAATTCAAACAAAATCCTTGTGATACATTTGATTCAATAATTTATTTCTACATGGGTACCTTTAATCACCATCAAAGCATACAGGAACTGTCAAATTCATAGTCTCCAATCTTTTCCAGCCTTCTGGAACTCTAAATCTGGCCTGCTTTATTCTGTATGACTTGCTTAATTTGACCCCATTTTCAGGCAAGTACTGACTCAAGGCAGTACGTGACCTGACCGGACCTGATCCGACCAGGTTCGGTTGAGAGGCGGAACCTGCAAAAGCTCAGCTATCAGTCCATCTACCCAAGTAGCTGTTGCATGTTAAATCTTGTCTGGTTAGCGCGGAGAACTTTAATTATCAGTGCTTCCTTCCAAATCCTTAATTTTGATCATGCCACAGGAGATCAGCTAGTAATTTGTAAAAACAGGACGATAGGTTGAGACTATGTTCTAGGATGTAATAATCTTTAATTCAGTTATTTTATGAACGCCTTGAGTACTTTGCTGACTTGGGATATACCTCCAGTAATGGTTTATCAACCACCTATTGACTAGACATTGTTTATTAATCCATCTAGAGAATGAAAAGATACAACTGGTGTCAATTTCTTTCCCTTGTGTTACAGGGATAGAAATTTAGAAGAAATTTGTTTTAAAGTCTGTGCATGCAACACTGTTCGGAATGTCCTGGAGCAGCAGGTGATTGGAGTAAGATTCCACCAACTGCTGCTGAAACCAACCAAAGAAAGAATTGACTTCTTATTGGAAGTAAGGCCACAAGTGAACATTTAGCCGTTTTTGAAACTTGAGTAGCCTGTTAAAATGCAGACCTTGATTTTAATAATGGTTAAAGTTGAAGCATTACTTAGCAATTTTGTTTGTGCTCTGTGCCTCCCTTCTCTCACTGCAAAATTATTGTGCATCATTTTACACCAACACACCTAACCAGTGCCACCATTAAACCTATGAATGGCAGTAGTTTTGATTGGGCTAATGGATGCCAGCCCTCAGGAATTTGATCCCTTGCTTCACCTGAGATTTAGAATGATGCCATGGAACCAGAGCCCTCCTGTGCTTTGGCATTTTTTTCAGTCTCGTGCCTTTGCTGAATGTTAGGGTGAACTCTCAAATAGTCTGTATTTGTTTAAGGTTCTTGAGTAGATTTGTAGCTCAGGTTGTGGATGCTGTGGTTGGTTTGCTTGCCGAGCTGGTTTGTTAGTTTGCAGACGTTATGTTACCCTGCTGGGTAACATCAGTGCAGCCTCCGATGAAGCATTGTTGCATTTTCTCGTTTGTTATTTAAACTCTGGGGTCTGTTGAAGTTGATATCCTTATTTCCAGTTTATCTTTGCAGTGATGTGTATATAGGGTCTAATTCTACGTGTTTATCAATGGCCTTTTTGGTGGAGAACCAGGTCTCTAGAAATTCCCATACTTGTCTCTGTTAGGCTTGTCCTAGGATCCTGACATTGTCCCAATTGAACTGATGGTTCTCCTTGTCCATGTGTATGGAGACGCGTGAGTATTGGTCGTGTCTTTTTGTTGCTAGTTGGCATTCATGTATTCTTGTGGCCAGTTTCCTTCCTGTCTTTCTGATGTAATGTCTGTCGCAGTCCTTATGTGGAATTGGTATGGAAGAAGAATACCTCCACCAAATATTTCAGAGAAAACGGATATCCAAATAGCTTGGTCCAACTATGCCTGTCACACAAACAACAACAGGAAGATACGGTATGTCCGACCCACTTGTCACATTACCATACTGACCACAATACTCCTACGGCCACTGGACATCAGAGTAGCACACAAAGCTATGTCAACTCTATGCCAACTGCTAACAAGAACCAAAGACCCCTTACCCACAATGGACAGAAGCAACGTAATATACAAGTTTCCATGCAAGAACTGCGACAGACAGGAAGGAACCTTGCTATGAGAATACGTGAACACCAACTAGCAACAAAAAGACACCACCAATACTCATTCCTCTCCATTCACACATAGAAGAACTGCCAGTTCGATTGGGATGACGTTAAGATCCAGGGACAAGCACGGGAATTTCTGGAGGCCTGGTTCTCCACCAAGAAGGCCATCAATAAACACGTAGAATTAGACCCTGTATAGCCACCACTGCAAAGAAAAACCGGAAATGAGGTAATCAACTCCAACAGACCCCAGAGTTTAAGTAACAAGCAGGAAAACACAATAACGCTTCATCAGAGGCTGCATTTTGTTTCATTACCCTGCTGGGTAACATGATCACCTACAAACTAACGAACCAGCTTGGTGAGCGAACCAACCACAGCAGTCTGTATTTTTCTGCTCGTACATTGTCCTGCAAAAGAACTCCCTCCGTGTATTTCATAGAAATCATAGAATCCCTACGGTGTGGAAACAGGCCCTTCGGCCCAACAAGCCCACACTGACCCTTGGAGCATCCTACCCAGACCCATCCCCCTATAATCCACCTAAGCTCCATATCCCTGAACACTACAGGCAATTTAGCATGGCCAATCCACCTAACCTGCACATCTTTTGGATGTTGGGAGGAAACCAGAGCACCCGGAGGAAACCCACGCAGACATGGGGAGAATGTGCAAACTCCACACAGACAGTTGCCCGAGGGTGGAATCGAACCCGGGTCCCAGTCGCTGTGAGGCAGCAGTGCTGACCACTGAGCCACCGAACCAGCTCCTTTTTATAAGTTGTTGTTTAATCTACTTTCTTCACCTCTGCAAATAGTACATTTCAGATCATAGCATGCTCTTTTTAAAAAACAATGTATTTGTGTCATCTTTGTTTATTTTGCCAATCATATTGAGCTGTGTCCTCCAGTAACTGATCCTTTTGTACTTTGAAACAGTTTTTCCTTCTGTCATATAAAACAGTTCATGATTTTAAACACCCCTATCAAAACTCTTCTTACTGAATATTTTTTGAAATATAGAACAAAATCAATTGTTCCTTTCCTTTAGTGGAGTTGAAGTTCCACGAATGTTGGTTCCTTTCTCATAGTTCAACCAAGTGTTCAGTTAAACAAATAATGTATTCTAATTAAATAATATAATTACTGTTTAAGACGAATGTATAACATTTTCATAATGTAGATAACCATTATAGTAAAATTATATTTTGTATTGTAGACATGTGCATGTTCATTAAATCTGGATAAAGCTTCAGAAGATTCTAAACAAAGGATGGCTGTTTTCTTAAAGTAAATATACAGTTCTTTTAAAATGTACTTCACAATTTTCCATTTGTCTAATTTCTATCTTCTCTAACCTTAACAAATTGAAAATCTGGAGGCTTTGGACATAGTGTTTAAGTTAATGGACGAATAGTCGAAATGTATGTAAGAATGATCAAGTCCCATCACAGCAGCTGGGAAACTTGAATTCAGCTAAGTGAATACATCTGGAATTAAAGCCTGCTAGTAGTAGATGTAGAGAGGATGTAGAAAAACAGGAAGTTTCCTCTTGAGGCAAACTGGATTGAGACGTCATAGTATTGGGATAAGGGGTAGCAGATTTAAAACCAAGATGAGAAGGAATTACTTATTTCAAAGAGTCCTGAATAATAGAATTCACTACCCCAAAATGTGGTGTACAAAATCATGAGGGGCATAGATTGGATGAATTCATATAGTCTCTTTCCCAGGGATGAGGAATTGAAAACTAGCGGGCATAGGTTTAAGGTGAGAGGGGATAGATTTAAGAAGGACCTGAGGGGCAACATCTTCACGCAGAAAGTGGTGCGTATATGGATTGGGCTGCCAGAGAAAGTGGTCGAGGCAGGTACAGTATCAGCGTTTAAAAAAACATTTGGACAGGTAGATAGATGGGAAGGGTTTAGAGGGATAGGGACTAAATGCGGGCACTTAGAACTAGCTGAGTGGGCACCATGGTCAGCATGGACCAGTTCGGGCCGAAGGGCCCGTTTCCATCCTGTATTACTTTATGACTGTATACCCTGAAACCACTCTCGGACTCTCTCTGCTTTGCTTTTTTGTTTTTCTTTTCCAAATGTTATTGAGGAGTTCCTTCTTTCTGTCTGGTGTTCCTTGAGTGTAGCTGCAACTGGGGCTCCTGAAACCCAGAGGGATATTAACCTGCATCTCACTGCATGTTCCCAAATGGTCCCTAATTCCACGCTATCTTTTAGATACTTTTAAGCTGCGTGTACATGCTGTAAAAATCCATTTTGGGCAGAATCTGATATAACATCAGGCTATGTTTCTGATACCCCATATTGAGATCCATCACTGCTGGTCTCAAAAAGGAGATATTTGGTAGATCTATTTGTTTTGACTATTCTAAAAGCTTAATTAATTTAAACAAAAATTATAATCAATTGCTGGCCCCATTTAAGTAAAACTTGTGTGAATTTGTGTACATCCTTGTTTTTGTTTCAAACTACTGTGGTCTTAATATTTAGCGAACTGTCTTACCGTTGTCTGTATTTCCCCACCTACGTCCAGACTGTATGGCAGTGTTTTCTGTTCCACTGCTTTTACAGGAAGGAGCCAAATGAGTCTTGCCAATATATGGGATATATTGAATTCTTGGATGGATCTGATCTTTGCAATGTGATGAGCATTTATTATGTAGGGTAAAGAGTTAGAATAGTATTAGGCAGCAAATATCATGCAACTCTTAAATATTCATTCATTGACTTTTGATACTTGTATAGGAATTTGTGCCAAAGTTTAGATGACCCTCAGTTTGTTTTCATGATTTCCTCGCATGATATGTGCATGAAACTGTTAAAGGATGAAGAACGGAAACTACTGCTTGATCACATAAGAAAGCGATCACCTCGCCTTAATCTTTCAACCAAGCCATTGACTGTTTTCTATGATATACCTGGTAAGTCTGATATAGCAGCTCCTACCAAATAGATATACCAAAAAGAGTGTGATTAGTGTTTTAGTTTCTACCTTCAAATGTTTTGAGTTGTTGAACTGGTTAGTATAGCGGTATATTTCTTCCACATGAGGATGTAATTTCTCTGGTTCTGACAGCCCTTTGATTTCCATTCATGCCACACCACTCCAACTTTGCTGTTCTTCATTTGCACTCGCAATGTGTTTGTTGCCCTGTTAGAAAATAAGGGCTTCATTTCTAACCCTAACAAGATTTACAAGGACATTGCCAGGGTTGGAGGATTTAAGCTATAGGGAGAGTCTAAATAGGAGGGGGGAAAGATTTAAAAGGGATCTCGGGCAATTTTTCCAGGCAGAGGGTGGTGTGTGTATTGAATGAGCTACCAGAAGAAGTGGTGAAGGCTGGTACAACTACAACACTTAAAAGGCATCTGGATGGGTATAGAAATAGGAAGGGTTTAGAGGAATATCGGCCAAATGTTGTCAAATGGAACTAGGTTAATTTAGGATATCTGGTCGGCAGGGATGAGTTGGACCGAAGGGTCTGTTTCTGTGCTGTACATCTGCATGACTCTATATCTCTGTCATTTCTGATGCCATAAGCTCTTGATTTTCCTCTCCGACTGGCCGATTTTTCATTCAACCAATTTGGTTCAGTTAGACTAGATATGGTGCTGACCAAAAGCTAGACACAAAGCACAGAGTGACATTTAACAAATTAGGAGCTGAAATAAGCATTTGGCCTTTCAAGTCTGCACTGCCATTCAATAAGACCATGGCTGATCTGTTTGTATTTCAAGTTTCACACTCCTATAGCCTGTAACCTTAGATTATTGTTAGGCAAGGGAATCAATCTGTCCCCCTTTAAAATATTCAATGATCCTACCTCCATTGCCTTCTGAGGCAGAGTTCCAAAGTTGTACAACTCTAAGAAAAAATGTTTTCCTCATCTCTTTCTAAAAGGACTACCTAGTTTTTACAGTATCCCCCAGCTGGGGAGTCGCCTAGAAGAAGAAACATCATTTATATGTTCACCTTGTCAACACCGTTTTAAGAACTTCAACCAAGCTATCAGTCACTCTTCTAAACTGCAGTGAAAGCAAGCCCGTTCTCTCAAATGTTTAGGTATCTAGTAAACCTCTTCTGAATCACTTCCAATGTAATTACATCCTTCTATAAATAAGAAGACCAAAACTGCATACAATATTTGAGATGTGGTCTTATCAATGCCTGTATAACTGAAGCATATCTGAATCCCACGAAGACCCCTGTCCTAATGGACTTCATCCTGGGGCCTGAGAAGACGTGGCTTATGTGGTGATGGATGTGCTGGTCTTACATGCCATCTGGGTGGGATGCAAGACGGGCAGGATGCCACTGTGCCAAGTAAGTCAGTAAATTAATATTTAGGGTACAAAAACAAAGTTGCTGGAACAGCTCAGCAGGTCTGGCAGTATCTGAGAAGGAAAAAAACAGTTACGTTTTGGGCCCGGTGACCCTTCCTCAGAATATTTAGGCTATGTTGGCAGAGGCATGTCAATTTGAATCATGGTGGTTGGGGGTGTGATGTTGGTTCTGAGAGGGGTTAGTCAACAAGTGGCGGTCGTGGGGGAGGAGTTGGCGTGTTCGGGAATGTGCTTGTTGGGGCCCAAGCACTGTAAGGAAGTGTTTGAGTTGTTGTAAGCAAATTTTGAGTCATTTTAAAACTGGAGATGGGCATAAGGGAAAGAGGGTTATTGGAGGAGAGTGATAAGTCAAATTTATTTACCCAAAATCATTGTCAATTCTGTATTTAAGGATATTGTTATAAAAATGTTATGGTACAAACTAATTCTTTCAAACTTCTGAAATTTGTGATTTTAGTGTGTTAACTTTGCATGTAATTACATTTTCTAGCATCAGCCAGTGTCAATATTGGTCAGCTTGAACACCAGCTCATCCTAACAGTTGACCCAGGGAGAATTCGACAAATTCTGATTGAGCTTCATGGAATGACATCTGATCGGCAATTCTGGACTGTTTCCAACAAGGCGAGTAATTGACATTTTCCAAAGTGGTGTTAGTCTGTTGTAACTACTCTACAACATTTGATTTACAATATTTATCTTGTAGTATTTACACAAAATCATTTCTGTTTCAGTGGGAAGTACCAACAGTTTATGGTGGAGTTATTCTTGGCATCAAGGATAATCTGACCAGGGATTTGGTTTATATCTTGATGGCTAAAGGTCTGCATTGCATTGCAATTAAGGTTAGTCTTGAACACATAGCTTTCAAGCACTGAAATAGCTCAAACTTAGTTTGTTACTCGGAGAAGATCCAAAAAAAATTCTTGGTGTTTTGCTTTGCAGTGATATTTTCATTCATGCATTTACCTTCTGCTGACGCTTAAATTTATTTTTGAAGACCTTGTGCAATTTGTCTGTTTCAATCCACATTTTCCATGGTGAGTTAAGGCAACATTTTTGGATTTATTTTTAAAGGATTCAAATTATTTTTAACAATTGCTCTTGGAAGTAAGTAAAAATAGGACATGAAATTACTTTCACAGTTGTCAGTATTGTAACAGTTTCAATTAGAATTCTGGAAGCTATCCATGTTGGAAAAACTACTAGACCTACATTTGACAGTCATAACATGGAAACTTTATCATTGAATTTCATCCAAAAAATTATATCTGTTATGAAATGGAGATTAGCTTTTGTTGCCTTTCCCTAATTGCCCTTAGAGTGAATGGTTTGCTAGGCCATTTTAGAGTGTAGCTAACTACATTGGTGTGAACATAAGAACTAGGAGCAGGAGTAGGCCGTCCGGCCCTTCGAGCTTGCTCCGCCATTCAATAAGATCATGGCTGATCTTTTCGTGGACTCAGATCCACTTACCCGCGTTCTCACCGTATCCCTTAATTCCTTTATTGTTCAAAAAAAATCTATCTTATCGTTAAAAACGTTTACTGAAGTAGCGTCAACTACTTCACTGGGCAAGGAATTCCACAGATTAACAACCCTCTGGGTGAAGAAGTTCCTTCTGAATTCAGTCCTAAATCTGCTCCCTCTAATCTTGAGGCTATGCCCTCTTGTCCTAGCTTCACCTGCCAGTGGAAACATCCTCTCTACTTCTATCTTATCTATTCCCTTCATAATTTTATATGTTTCTATAAGATCCCCCCTCAATCTTCTGAATTCCAATGAATATAATCCCAATCTACTCAGTCTCTCCTCGTAAGCCAACCCCCTCAACTCCGGAATCAACCTAGTGAACCTCCTTTGCACCCCCTCCAGTGCCAGTACATCCTTTCTCAAGTAAGGAGACCAAAACTGCGCACAGTACTCCAGGTGTGGCCTCACCAGCATCTTGTACAGCTGCAACATAACCTCTCTGCTTTTTATTTCAATCCCTTTAGCAATGAAGGACAAAATTCCATTTGCCTTCCTAATTACTTGTTGTACCTACAGACCTATCTTCTGTGATTCATGCACAAGGACACCCAGGTCTGCATTGCAGCATGCTGCAACTTTTTACCATTCAAGTAATAATCCTTTTTACTATTATTCCTACCAAAATGTATGACTTCACATTTATTTACATTGTATTCCATCTGCCAGACCTTTGCCCACTCACTCAATGTATCTATGTTCTTCTGCAAAGTTTTACAGTCCTCTGCACACTTTGCTCTGCCACTCATCTTAGTGTCATCTGCAAACTTTGACACCCTACACGTGGTCCCCAACTCCAAATCATCTATATAAATTGTAAATAATTGCGGTCCCAACACCGATCCCTGAGGCACACCACTAGTCACTGACTGCCAGCTAGAATAGCACTCATTTATCCCCACTCTTTGCTTCTGGAATTACACATAAGACATTAATGAACCGGATGGGTTTTTACAGCAATTGATGATAGCTGACATGATCACCATTACTGCAAGTATCTTTACATTCCAGATTTGGAACTCAAATTTAAATTCCACTAGCTGTCATGGTAGGATTTTAAGCCTACCTCCCCAGGCCGTTAGCCTGGGCCTTTGGGCGGTTAGTCTGATGACATTGCTATTGCACCATAATCTTCCCACCATAATCACACTGTAGCAAAATGTTGAGATGCAAGCACTAACGTTTCCACTATAGGTCCTTAAGAAATAAAATCTCAAACTGAAATATGAATACAAAACAAAATTGAGCAAACTTATGCCACAATTTTGAATGTTTACAGCCTCATCCTCTTTCCCAATCCCCAATAATTCATGATCTACATCTATCCATGATTTATAGAGCCTTTATAATGTCCCACTCCAAATGGAGCTGTTATCACCGTCACATTCACACATCACAGGAAATGTCCTAATAACTGACCAGCCAAAGAATCACAGTTCAGTGTTGCCTCCAACAGCATTATCTATGTGACATTCAATAGTATTGTCATTCAGCTCAAGACCCAGTGCAAGAAATAACTAGTCAAATGCAACTTCCTTTGTTATTGTCTTGTACAGACTGGACTTTATGGCTGTAAGTTTGTATTGCAGCATGATAAGCATTGGGGCGATGATACAACGTCATCAGGTTGTCTCAAGTATTATGGAATACGAATGTTTAAATGAGAAGACCACCCACCACATTCAAATCACTAATTGATATTGAGCTTGTTTAAAAGCCAATTTTTCATTGCTCACCGCATTTTTCAGGTGGCTAATGGAGAAAGTGAAAACACTTTGAGGCTGCTTTCGCAAGAAAGCACAAAGTTGAAATAAGGCCTACCACTAAAATGATAACTGAATGCACCAGTGGATCCTGTTGGTGAAAGTGACAGCATCCATGATATTTCTGAGCTCATTTTTTTGAGCTTTCAATTCAACGTAAAGATGGATTCAGAAAGCAGGGTGCATTTAAATTTGGATCCATGATCGATTTCCTCATTGTGGAATAACCTCCCTGTCACATGACATCCTGGCCTAGTGTCGGGATTGAGCTCAGCACCCTTCCTTTGCAACTCTAATTTGCCACTGCTCCCTTCAAAAGCCACATTAATTTGTCGAAATGCATAGGCAAGAGCGAGTATTATATATTGTAGCACTTTGTAATGCTTTGTTTCTGTCTTCATAGTGGAAAATGCAAATTAAGTGCCAGAAATAGTGTAACCAAGGGCCCACTAAGAGAAGGAACTCTCATAATCAGCAAGGGAAAATGTATGTGAGAAACATAATTTGACAAATCCCTAGAACTTGATGCACACTTTGCATTCTAAATGAGACAATAGATGCACTGGTTTTGATGTTCCAAAATTCTGTATATTGTAAAATGGAAAATTTGGAAGCTGCTACTGAAGAAAAAGTGGAGAAAGAGGAAACATTGAATTGCAGTGAAGTAACAGATGGAATTTATTTTGGGGAACTGTGAAGTAATTCATGTTGGTAATAGAAATTCAGAAGTTTTTTTGACAGGTGTGAGCCTCGTCATTTTAACGTTCAAAGAGGTTTGAGTTCATTAGCATTTAGGAAAGACATGATGTGTTGGCCTACATTGCTAGAATTAAAAGGACATTGGTGAGAGCACACCTGGAGTGCAGGTTTGATTTCCTTATGATTTACTTGCCTTGAAGTTTGAGTAGATTGGTTCCTGGCATGAAAAGATTTGTCCTCTGATGAAAGGCTGAGTAAATTACTCTCTAGAGTTTAAAAGAATGAGAGATGCTCTTATTGAAATGCACAATATCTCAAAGGACTTGACAGACGCTGAAGGGATGTTTCTCCTAGCTGGAAAGTTCTTCACACAGAGGATTGTGAATTTTCCATGTTGCACTTCTTAGGGGCTTCATTGTTGAGTTTATCAAAATTGTACACATCCCAACCTTGAATGTTATTTTTATCAGGAACAAAAACAAAGTTGCTGGAAAAGCTCAGCAGGTCTGACAGCATCTGTGAAGGGAAAAAACAGAGTTAACGCTTCGGGTCCGGCAACCATTCCTCATAACAGTTCTGAGGAAGGGTCACCGGACCCGAAACGTTAACTTAGTTTTTTCCTTCGCAGATGCTGCCAGACCTGCTGAGCTTTTCCAGCAACTTTGTTTTTGTTCCTGATTTACAGCATCCGCAGTTCTTTTGGTTTTTAATGTTATTTTTATATTCAGTCAGGGAATGTGGACTTCACTGGCAAGGCCAGTGTTTATTATCCATTGCTAATTGTTCACCACCGCATTCTGAAAGCTATTTAGTATTGTACAATAAATGCTGATCTGGCCAGAGAAGCTCATTCTCTGAGTTTTTTAAAAAAGAATTAAGGCCGGGGTGGACAGAATTGATCTTTCAGGGAATCAAGGGACACAAGGAGCATAGTGGGAAAAGAAAGTTGGGGCATAGAATCAGCCATTGTCGTATTGGATAACAAATTAAGCTTGAGTTGAATATTGTATGCATGCTCCTATTTTTTACGTTTTTATGTACTGAACAAATAATGATAAATAAGATCTTTTGGTGCATTCTACAAAAGTCTGGCAACAATTTGCTTCCTTTGTGTGGTTCTATTAGATAAGTAAAGGTATCACAACGCAAGAAAACCGTAAAGTAGAGCTGTTCAATCTATTACGATTAGAAATAAAGATTTTCTGACAAATTGTAATTGATGGTATAAATGCTCTATTATATTATCCATCATTTGCACTAGCTCTTTCTTTAGGGAGCAATCCACCTCAAGATTAGTTAAAAATTAGGTATAATTTTAAGTGGCCTCTTTTCTTTGTTTCAGGATTTCACCCATGCTCGGCAACTCTATTCCTCCTGCCTCGAATTGGTTACAGAATTTTCTCCAAAACTTCGCCAAGTTATGTTAAATGAAATGCTGCTCCTGGATATCCGTGCTCACAAGTCTGGGACAGATTGTGCAGGAGAGCGTCCACCAGCTGACCTTGTGAGTCGGGTTCGAGGTTACCTTGAGATGAGGTTACCAGGTAGGGGAATATTTTTGCTGACTTTCAAAATATACATTTAAACCTTATATTTATATGGTAACTTAAATTTTAGTCATTGTAAGAAAATGGTGAACTGAGGCTCGTGCCTACAATAAAGAGTTAAAAACTGAGGAAGACTTGACTTGGAGCCATTTTCTGTACTTCTTAATGATTAACTCCAGAATAATGCACATTATGACCATAAATAGGTCATCATTGCATCATCTTGTGCAGCAAGAAGGGAAAAGGAGGGGAGAAAATCATAATTATGCAAAGCACTTTGTCTTTTTTGAAAAATGCACACCAACAATTGTTGTGACTGATTAATTATTCCCTTGTCATCTGGTCTATCTGATTTGTGCCTCTTCAGCTCAGACTGTGCCTCCTCAGCCTTTTTAATGTAAGTTTGAATCCTCAACAAAGATGGTCTTCAGTCTTCATTTTGTATTTTGCAGTTTGTTTCTAGTGAAAAATGCATATTGTTGATCAGTTACCTAATGAAATTTGATCGCAATTTTAGAGTATTCTATAATGTATGAACAGTGGAACCGAAGCTGTAATTCACAGTAGTATACATAAAGATGGATTATGTAAAGTTAAAAATTGTTCATTTTGTTCTCTTGTTGCGAAGTCTGTCCTTTACTTTATCAGCCGCATTGAGTCAGTGACTGTATTTACAGTAGAAGAATGACTTGCATTTATATAGCTTATAAATAATTTCCATGAATACTTGCAGGAGCACAATTAAAAAATGAACACAACCATAGTTTTTAAAAGAAAGCCTGTTCAAGAAGATGGATCTTAAAGAATGTTAAGAAGAAGCGAGGGCGATGGATAGACTGTTAAGCTTAGTGAGTGAGTTTGAGAGCCTGGAGCTTGGGTATCTGAAGGCACTATCAAATAGGGTGGAGAGGAGAATTGCACATTGGTTGGAGTCAGATCACTGACTGGGGAGAGCTTTGGGTTGCTGAAGTTTAGAAAGATTGGAAGGTTGCAGAGGTAAGAATGTACAGCTCGAATGATTGTGGGCTTTTTCTTTTTATGCTATTTTCAAAGTCACGGTATATTATTTTCCGTCATCTAAGTGGTGCATTTCAATTAATGGTTGTTTTAGTTTTCTGACGTTTAAAACCTCTACTGTGACAATTTAATATCATTAAAAATGTATGTCCTGCTAATGTTGCATTCCCGATTGGTGCCAACAGTATTGCTTTTGTACTTAAAGTTCCCTCAGTATGTTAAGAGCTGAGTCAGTTGATGCACAAGGCCACATTTTATTCTCTTTTACAGCATACCCTGGTGGTAAAATATCATCGCGTCATTCAGCCATGCTAAGAGAAGGTAAACTGAACACTTGGCCGGCTGTTTATGATCAACATTAAAACACTACTTTTTATTTTGTTTGCACTGTAGTTAAAATTTTGTATTGGTGTAAGTGACACTGAATAACTTTGCAGCTTCCAGCACATTTTATTCATAATTGACATTTGCAAAATTTATAAGCTGAAGCTGCAAAATATTTTGATTTGAATCCAAAGTTATGCTTTGCATAAAAGCACACTTATTTGTTTCCATATGCTATATCTACCTTTTCTGTTTTCTTCTCTAACCCACTCCGACCTTGAGTAGCCAACACAGCAAGATAATTCTTTAACTTCTGAAATTGTATGCAGAGTTTGGAGTTTTATTCTGTGTTAAGTGCCTTATTTATATTTGTGAATTTTTGCAGCATTTTTGCAGAATTAATACAGCTGTTTATTGAAATTATATTTTGGATTTTTTCTGAGCAATTAATTATACACTATGACAAGCTAACAGTTTATAAGTTATTTAATGGTTTTGATTCTCAAAGAATACTTAAACTTCAGCTCTGTAAACATTTTAATCTTCCATGCGAGTCATGACCATAAGCACCCCTGACTAGTGTGAACCATGAGTGTTTGTAATGCTGAGAAAGTAATGGAAGGAATTGACCTTTGAGCTCCCCTGATGGGTTAGTGCATTTGTGCCCAATACATTACTGTGGAAAGCTGAGTCCATATGCCATAGCCAGGAAATGAGCCACGTATGATTAAAATACTTGAGTCAGAAGCAGGATTAATTGCAAATTTTACGCAATTAGTTTCTTTTCTAAAATTGTTAATTGGTAAAATGAACAAAAACTTAGCAGATGGAATGTAATGTGGAAAAATGAGGTTATATGCGTTAGCAGGAAAAAAAGAAGCTGAATATTATTTAAATGGAAAAAGACTGTTGATAGCTACAGCTCGCATGGATTTGGAAATCCTCGTGCATAAATCACAAAAAACAAGCATACAAATCTGGCAGATAAGAGGGAATGCAAATAGATTATTTGACTTCATTTCAAAGGAAATGGAGTATTAAAATAGCGAAGTCTTGCAATAACTGTACAAAGCACTACTCAGACCGCAGCTAGAATACTGTGAACAGTTTTGGGCCCTTAACTATAGGAAGATATACCAGCATTGGAGGTAGTCCAGAAAAGGATTACTAGACTGACACCAGGTATAGAGGGACTGTCTTATGGGACAGGTTGAGTAAGTTGGGCCTATACTCATCAGAGTTCAGAAGAATGAGAAGTGATGTTATTGAAACATACAATTTTCTTCGGGTACTTGATAGGGTAGATGTTGAAAGGTTGTTTTCCGATGTGGCAGGTTCTAAAATCAGAGGGCATAGTCTTAAAATAAGAGGTCGCCCTTTTAAAATAGAGATGACAAAACTCTTTTGACAGAGGGTAGTGAATTTGTGTAATTCCTTACCACCAGAGGCTGTCAAGGCTGGGTCATTACATATATTCAAGGCTGAGATAGACAGAGCATTAATCAGTAAGGGAGCCCATGATTATGGGGAAAAGACAAAACAGTGGAGCTGAGAATGATCAGATCAGCCATGACCTCATTGAATGGCAGAGCAGAGTCAATGGACTGATTTGCTTGCTTCTACTCCTGTGCTTTATGGTCTTAAGACTTGTACAAGAAGCTGTTTGATCCAGTACAACTACAGACTGCTCTTTTTGGAGGGCAGGAATATCTGTGTGTGTTGCTGTTTAGAAAGATGAGATGTACCCAGAGTGGTTCAATCATCTGTGCAGAACATGTGAGAAACTAGTCTTGTTGTTTTCTCATTGTCGCTGGTTATGTCTCACTTAACATTAATCCACGTGTGTTTTCAGCTGGTTATAGGTAGACATCAGGTCAGGAACACTTAATTATTCTCTCTTGCCCTTGTAAAGGTCAGTCATGACACTCCTACTGAGACAGCTGTTCATCCCCTCGAATCAGGGATGAACCAGGTACTTATCTAGTCATGGGGTAATATTGGATCCTTAGTGTAGCAGTGTCTCTTGTGATTTCCAAGCACTAATATCCTCACTTCCATCAGTGCCATAATTTACTAAATGTGTACTAGGATGCATTATTGCTAGAGTTAGTGGCAGTTTAAAAAGTGGTTTTAAAAATAAAAGAAACCCTGGTTTTCTGTTATGTTTATAGATCTGTATTAATTCTTTCAAATGTTTCAGACATTCCATTGCGACAAATTATAACTGAGGAGTGTGTTGCTTTCATGTTGAACTGGAAAGAGAATGAGTATCTGACACTGCAAATTCCTGCAGCACTTGTCCAGAACAATCCATATGTAAAGGTAACCAGATTGCTGTACTTTTCCCAGAGCTTGAACTTGTCATGTCTTGCTCATTTGGCTAAAACCATCAAATCACTTTGCAAAAGAATTTTGGAAATTCTACTTTAGGATCATGTCCCTGGATTCCAATGCATGCTTCCCTCTGTTGTTTCCATATCCTTGTTCTCTGTTGGCATATGTTGCAGTTATGTGAACAGAGCAGCTAAAGAATTAAGCTTTTAGCTGATCCCATTCATCTCCTATGCTTATGAAGAGTTACTGCCAGACATTCATAAATCCACCTCACGAGGCTCATCTTATATAAAAATAAAATGTAAGAAATATGATAACATTCAGGAATAAAGTCTCTTCCATGTAACAGGTTGTAAGAAGTTATCTAGTGAGAGCTTTCCAAGGTGTTGAGTCCCAACAGATCTAGAAAGTCAGAACACTTTTTTTCCCCCCATTTACAATTGTACAGTGATTTCTATGAGGTACTGGCAATAAGTATTACTTGTTGGAAGCATGTATCAGTGAATTAGCTACAGATGCTAATATAATCAGTAGCTTCTTCTGTTGCTGGAGCTATGAGGTTCCCAATTCCAACAGATTTTGTCATATTCCAAGAGACTTAAATAAGTTGTAGATGAATTACTCAACAGACAACTGTAATTTAATTTAGAGTGCACGGCAATGCAAACTGGTACAGAAAACAGGAGATTTGTGTTTTCTGTGCATGAGGTTTTCATTGATGTAAGAGATTATTTGCATGTGATTGTTGATCGCTTTCAAGAAGGACATATTCAGTGTGAAGCTGTGGCAAATTAAATCACAGACCAGAATTGTGGTGCTAGGCAAAAACTCAGAGGAGTACTGTTTTCGTGCCTGCACTGCTAGGTAACTTTTTTCAAAAATAAATAAATACTGTCAGTGCATATAGAAATGTTAGTTGGTTACATTTCACAGAGTAGCAAAGTCATGAATTGTGTGTTCTGTTAAAGTATGCAGGACAGAACTAAATAATTGATTATGTTTTCCTCTGTGTATCTTCTAGCTGGGACAGCTTTTGGCTTCAACTTGTAAAGAGCTGCCTGGCCCAAAAGAAAGCAGAAGAACTGCTAAAGACCTCTGGGATGTAGTGGTTCAGATCTTTTGCTTATCTAACCAACACAAGCGAATCAATGATGGAAGAATCAGTTTAATTAAACATCGAGAATCCACACTGGGGATCATGTATAGGTAACAACTTCGGTTTAGCCCTGAGATTTGTGCACAATTTAAGAGACCATTCTTTTGGAAGACCTCATTACATGCACTAAATGTATTAAATCAAATCAAATCAGGTATAGAATATTTCTTACTTTGGAAATGACCTGGAGTCCTTTATATTGTGCATAACTTTACACAAAAAATAAAAGTAATAACATCAATTTGTTAATCTGTTTGGTAAGTTATTCATATATAAAACTATCACTACAGGTATTATCATTGTAAGAAACAAATGCCAAAAAGTGCCATCGATATGGTTAAGAATGTTTATTGCTCGTCTGTACTTGTATGTTGAAAATGAGGAATTTAATCATTTCTGTCCAGAGTTAGTGTATGAACGATAAAGTCTAATGCTTATTATTTTTCTTTCTTTTACTTTAGGAGTGAACTAGTTACATTCATCAAGAGACTCAACGTATGTATTAAGGCTGTTCAAAAAATTGAAGCAGATGCTGCTTGACCCAGTTTCCATTTCTATATTATGTTATGTGAAGGAATTTGTTATTGTTTCAGTGCATTCCATTCAGCTGCAACACAGCTTCAGAGCCTTTATCTCTTCCTCTTGTCCATCCCTTGTGTGATTGAACTGAACAAGAGATGGATAATGATTATAGGAGTTATTGTTTCCCACAACAGCATAATTGAAATACTCAAATGGAAGCTGAGCAGCCCTGTATTTCTCTTATCCATCACTCTGTATTTGATTGCTAGGATTCTAGACATGCACTGAAGCAAGTTGCTGTAGGTGATGCCGAGACTGGGCAAATCCACCTGGGATCAGGGGGGGAAATATATAATTTTTGAAAAAAAGAAAATCCCACAACCAAGAGAACATAAGAAATAGGAGCATGAATAAGCCATTTGGCACTTCAAACCCATGCTGCTGTTCAATAATATAATGCCATATCAGTTCCAGGCCTCAATTCCTCCTTTGTAACCCTCCTCATAACCCTCAACTACCCGACATATGTTTATATCTTCTGCAATAACATAATTTAGAAACAAAGATATTAATTTAGACTTTATTAACCATCAAATTTTGCCCAACTTTGGGATGACTTCAGTAAGGCTTTCGATAAGGGTCCTCATGGTAGACTGGTTAGCAAGGTTAGATCATATGGAATAGAGGGAGAACTAGCCATTTGGATACAGAACTGGCTCGAAGTTGGAAGACAGAGAATGGTGGTGGAAGATTTCTTTTCAGACTGGAGGCCTGTGCCAGCGGTGTGCCACAAGGATCAGTGCTGGGTCCACTGCTTTTCATCATTTATATAAATGATTTGGATGTGAACGTAGGAGGTATGGTTAGTAAGTTTGCAAATGGCACCAAAATTGGAGGTGTAGTGGACAGCAAAGAAAGTTACCTCAGAGTACAATGGGATCTTGATCAGATGGGCCAATGGGATGAGGAGTAGCAAATGGAGTTTAATTTAGATAAATGTGACGTGCATTTTAGAAAGGCAAATCAGGGCAGGTCTTTTACACTTAATGGTAAGGGAATGTTGCTGAACAAAGAGAAGTTGGAGTGCAGGTTCATAGTTGTTTGAAAGTCGAGTTGCAGGTAGATAGGATAGTGAGGAACGTGTTTGGTATACTTGCCTTTATTGGTCAGTACTTTGAGTATAGGAGTTGGGAGGTCGTGTTGTGGCTGTACAGGACATTGGTTAGGCCACTGTTAGAATACCGCGTGCAGTTCTGGTCTCCCTGCTATAGGAACGACGTTGTGAAACTTGAAAGGGTTCAGAAACGATTGATGAGGATATTGCCAGGGTTGAAGGGTTTGAGCTATACGGAGAGGCTGAATAGAGTGGGGATATTTTCCCTGTGGTATCAGAGGCTGAGGGGTGAGTTTATAGAAGTTTATAAAATCATGATGGGCATGGATAGGGTAAACAGACAAGGTCAATTCCCCAGGGTGGGGGAGGCCAAAATTAGAGGATGTAAGTTCAAGGTGAGAGGGGAAAGATTTAAAAGGGCTCTAAGGGGCAGTTTTTCCAGACAGATGGTGGTGAATGTATGGAATGAGCTGCCAGAGGAAGTGGTGGAGGCTGGTACAATTACAACATTTAAAAGGCTTCGGGATGGGTATATTGAATTGGAACGGTTTAGAGGGATGTGGCCCAAATACTGGCATATGGGACTAGATTAATTTAGGATATCTGGTTGGCATGGACAAGTTGGACCAAAGGATCTGTTTTTGTGTTGTATCTCTCTATGACACTCTAGTTCCTGTATTAAAAAAACAGTCAAGGTAAAATTAAAATGTGAAAATATTGTTTCAGTTTTGCATTTAAAATATATGATAAATTGTTATGCTGCCCTTACTCACAGAAAAATTGATAATTTTATTGGGGAGAAATCATTCAAGCTTTGTTTTGTTTTGTAGGATCCATTGGTTCTGACAACTTTAATCTCCCTTTTTGTAAAGTTGCACAACATTGTTCGGGTATGTATTGCTTAATATTTAGAAAAGGCTTTACTAAGAAATATGTTATGCTTATGCTAATACAGTGACTTAATTCTGCAATATTGATTTTGGAATAGTTTCCAACACTTATTAAACTGATGATCATTCTGTTTTAGGATGACATTGTAAATGATGTCACTGCAGAACATATGTCTATTTGGCCAACTTCTGTCCCAAAGTAAGTCTGTGCTTGATGACAATTTCACTCTTGTATTTCTTTAAATATTCAGACAATATTTTGTGTACATGCGGTGGTGTTACTTTACTACAGCATTACATATTGTTGTTTCCTTTGAAATATGGTCTTCTTTTGATTGTGTTCTGAAGAATGCACAACTTAAAAATTCACAACTGTGTTTCTGTTTTGCAACAATTGCCAAGTGACTATCTTAATTTCTCTTCAATATCCAAGTGATTGGTTTTGTTTTAAAATAAACAAAGTGCTGGAGAAACTCCGGTTAAGCAGCATCTGTGGTGAAAGAAAGAATTGCTTTTGTTTTGTCTCAATTTTTTAAAAATTTTTAAGCTTGCAGTCAGTGGACGTTGAGGCTGTTGCTGTCACAATGAAAGAGCTGGTCAGTTATTCGTTAAACATCAACTCCTGTAACCACTTCTGGTTAATTACCCAAGCAGATATTTACTTTGGTAAGTGCAGAAAGTATTCTCCCACTAGCTCAAATTATTTATTCAATTAATGTTTTTAAAATATTCAATTTTCCATTCATCGTTATGTGCTCTGCCCAGAGGTAGGTCATTGGTGCATTGTCTTCTTGATAGTTCTTGTCTATGGTGGTTTGCCATACCGTTCACTTTAAGGACTAGGGCAAGAAAGCAGGTGTTTACATGTACTTCAACCAGAAATGGAATTAATCTGTACTGTAGACGTTATTCTGAACTTATGCTAGCCATTTGGTCATCTGGTAACTGTGAAGATCTTTAAAGCCAATTACTTCTGATTTACAGTCACCGTTGTTCTTTACGAAATGTGGAAGACAGTTTTCATTCTCCAAGTTCGCGCTGGCATAATATGAAAATGACCAGATAATCTGTTTTAATGATGTTAGTGACCAAGGCAAACACACCTTTTTTTCTGTAATAATGCCGTGGGATCTTCTATACCCCCTAGATGGAAGGTGGTGCTTCAGTGGTGTCAGCCTAGATTTTATGCTTACATCTCAAGGTGAATCTGAATGTGTAACTTTCTGGCATGCTGGCCAGAATTTTATCTAAAGCTATGGTGAGCAGCGCTTTGTATAGCCCATCTGTCAAGGTTCAGGCGTTACTTTAATGTGAATGTTCAAATTTCTGCTCTTTGTTTGCTGCTTCTCACCTCCTTGTTGTGATTTGTCAATAACATTCCTCTTAACCGTTTTTTAAAAATTCATTCGTGGGATGAGGCCAGCATTTATTTATTGCCCATCCCTAATTGCCCAGAGTCAACCACCTTGCTGTGGGTCTGGAGTCACATGTAGGCTAGACCAGGTAACGATGGCACTTCTAAAGGGCGTTAGTGAACAAGATGGGTTTTTCCGAGAACCGACAAAAGATTCATGGTCATCCCAAGGCAGGATTTGAACCTGGGTCTCCAGATCATTACCAGGGTCTCTGGATTAACAGTCCAGTGATAATACCACTAGGCCATCGCTTCCCCTAATATGTGTCTCCCCATCACATGTTATCTCCCCATCCAAAACTGTTACTCGTTGTCTAATACTATGTGATTGTTTTTGCATGTTCCGTTCGTACCCAGTTAAAGTTGGTGAGTTCATATCCAGGAATGACTTTTTTCAACCTTCATTCACACATTGTAATTTTTACATTCCTGTAAAGATTTGTCCTTAACCCTTTCATCTGTTGTCTTGATCTTTAACAAAATTGACTGTCCTGCGTATGTTATGGAAACTAACTGTTCTTTACTTGACATACTTTGCCTGAGATTACTAGTCCAGTTATTTAGTCTTGGACGATCTAACATTGGAAAATAGAAGTAATCATCTTCAGTTCACCAGCTGACTTTGCTCTCTCGCTACTGGTTCCAGCCATATTTTTGAGTCCACCATGACTGCTTGCAATTCTAGTGTCCTGTTGGACCTTAATTCGAGCTTCAGAGGCCACACGTATCCATTGTAAAGACTGCTTACCTTCACAGCTTTGACTCACTTCAACACTGCTGCAGCCCGTCACTACTGGTTAGATTTTTTACACTTCCAGGCTTTACTTTTCTACTTTTACTTGATATTCAGTTTTCCGCATTCCATTAACATCCAACTTGTCCAAAATTTCTGCCACATGAATGCTACCCCAAAAACCACTAACTGCCATTCCCTCTGGTGCCCAAAACATCAGGTTCACAATTTTTCTCTATAAAATCCCAACTTCACTTTGCTCCACCAATCTTCTCCAGCCATATATCCTCTCCCATGTGCAACACTCTTCTAATTACATCTTTCCCATTCATGTGCTGTATTATTGATGGAAGAATATTCAGCTTTTCTTATTTATAACTCGTGCAACTTCCTTCATTTTTAAGAGCTTTAATCAAAGTGCCTTGTTTTCATCCTTTGTGACCCTGACCATTTTCTTCGCACTCATTTGTAAAGCATCTTGGGATTTTTATCTTAAATGCCATTAATTGCAAATTATGGTTTTGTAATGGAGGTACACTATCTCAAATAATTCCTGACCTAAGATTGCCTGTCAGCAAAAATACAGAAGCTCAGCTAGCACAGATTTGACCAGACATTTTTGTTGAACTCTTGCTGATTAGTGGGTACAAGTTATGTAATTGCTATCAGTGGTGTTCCCTATCTTTACATTGATGTGTTCGGGTGATGAAAGTGATATGTCATTGTAACCATTTTATTCCCTTAGCAATACCATATTCCTTCAGTTGGCTGAAGGATCAATTATTTTAACAAGGGTTTACCAGCTGAAAAACGGTCTTTAAAGATCAGGTTTTCATCTGTTAAAAATGTGACATTTGACTCAATTGATCTATTTTCAAGGCTGATCCTCCAGCGCAGTCTTAATGGAGTGCTGTGCTGTTAAAAATAGTGTTTTGGCCTGTCTATCTTCTCAGGTGGATGTAAAACATCTCTTATTATTTCAAATCAGGTTAGGGGACTCATCCCTGGCATCCTGAACATGTTTACCTTATAGTCAACCGAAATTCATTTATTAAAATGGGAAGAAATTTTGATAACTGGTAGTGACCCCATCAGAGCCTGGTTGCATCTAGACTGTCTAGGAAATGTTATTTTCGGTGCTTGAAATGTTAAGCGTGAACACTTAAAATAACTCTTTCAACATTCTTTCAAGAATCATTTTATGTGCTTTTGGAGTGATTCAAGTGTCAGCCGAACTGTTCAGAACCTTCTATTTTGCGTTTCTATTTTCTGATTTTTTTTTCCAGCCACCAATCAATTTTCAGCTGCTCTGCATTTTTACCTACAAGCTGGTGCCATCTGTTCAGACTTTTTCAATAAAGCTGTCCCTTCTGATGTGTACACAGATATGGTAAGATTGATCAAGAGAGAGAACTAGTTTGAAATTCTCAGTTGCTTTGTTGTATTATATTTCATTTTGGCAGCCTCAAAACATTTAAGTTTTAAATGATAGACCCTAGACAGTTCATCAAAGGTTTCGCTGATTTTAGCGGAATTCTGTGCAGTCATAGAATTTTGAATGGCACAGGAGGAGATATTCAGTTTGTGTGTTTGCCAGCTCTTGCAAGAATAACTTGCCCAATTTCAAGGCTCCATCTTTATCATGTAGCCATGTGTTTTTTTTCCACTTCACATATTATCCGATTCTCTTGTGCAGGCCTCCATTGAATCTGCTCCACCAAAATCTCTGGCAGTGCATTCCAGATTCTGACCACTCACTACGTATAAACATTTTTGCTAATACCGCTGCTAATTCTATTGCTCGTCACCTTAAGTCAGTATCTTTGCTGACTCAGTGTTTGATACTTTATAATGGTGAAAGAAAATTGTTACTTTGGTAGTCACTAGAGAGCAACCCAGTTCACGGTTAACACCATAATAATGATGCTCAATAAAAACCGAAAGAACTGCAGATGCTGTAAATCAGGAACAAAAACAAAGTTGCTGGAAAAGCTCAGCAGGTCTGGCAGCATCTGTGAAGGAAAAAACAGAGTTAACATTTCGGGTCCGGTGACTCTTCCTCAGAATGATTCTCAATGACAATGATTCTCAACTTGTTTGTTACTGAACAGCAATTCCCGTGCTATAGCACTGTAAGATTTCTGGTGGATGAAAGGTATCAAATGGTTTGCAACAAGTCAGGTTAACTTTTTTTATTTGTTCTTGTGGTCTTTCATCCCATGGTCAGACAAGTGCATTCACAGCTATTGTTTCTTTGGATTAACCTTCAACTTCATAGCAGCTGACAAAAGTCCATAGTGCTTTCATTAATGGCAAAATAACTTGGGGAAAATAATAGTGCTCTGGAAATTGAGTTACTTCTTGGATGTTGAAGCTGCAATATACAGATATGACTGAACAGCAGCAAGACTGCACCCTTGCCTCTTGCTGGAGAGAAGAATATAAATAACATCTTCACCCACTAGTCTGAAACTGTACTGATGTTGCCCAACAAGATAAAGTGTACAGTTCATTAATTTATTTTTATCTAACTTCATGTTTTTGCTTTGGTGTTTTCTAAGGTGCTGAAGAGAATGATCAAATGCTGTTCTATGTTAAATTGCCACACCCAAGTAAGTAGAATGTATTTATTTAATAATGTTTGATTTATTACAAACTCTAATATCATTAGCATATTCTTTTAAATTTATGTCAGCCAAATGCTGTATTTTTCTATTGTGAGTGGAATGTACCTGCTTGAGTGTATTCAGGACTGAATGTATGATTTATTCTGTTGTGTGATAATATTCAGCTGCTCATCTGTTGGGTGTACTAACAAGACCTGCAGTGGTTCAAGAAGGCAATTCAACAGTTCTGAAGAAGCCACATTGAACTCAAAATCTTAACTCTGTTTAGGGAAGGAAATCTGTCGTGCATACCTGGTCTGCCCTACATGGGATTCCAGACTCTCAGCAATGTAGTTGACTCTTAACTGCCCTCTGGGCAATTAGGGGTGGGAAATAAATGCTGACCTCGCCAGAGGCACCCACATCCCATGATGAATTTAAAAAAAACACACCAAGCTCTGCAGTGGTTCAGGAAGGCAGTTCACCCGTCATTGAACAGTTCTGAAGAAGTCACATTGGACTCGAAGCCTTAACTCTGTTCTTTGCTCCACAGATACTACCAGACCCGCTAAGCTACTCCAGCAGTTCGTTTTCCTCATTTATAGCACACCCATTCTTATCCTGAGATGGCAGCAGTGGGTTTCTTCTTGACCCACTGAAATTAACGTGCTGAAGGTGTTTGCAGAGTACTGTTCTTTTTAATAGTTTAATATAACTGAACGTATGATTAGACCACTTCAGAGAAAAGTGATGAGCATGTACAGTGGGGAGGGACTGGAGTCACAATGTTTTCCTTCTCTAATCGACATTAGTGAACCAGTTGAGATTTTACAACAATATACTAGATTCATGATCACTTTTTATCAGCTTTTAAATTCTCAACTTTGACTTGAGTTGAGTTCTTATTTGAGACTACATTCTCTGGATTCTTAGTCCAGGTCTATGGCTCGTTGGTCCAGCAACATAACCAAGTAACCTATGACAAATGACTTGCATCTTGAAACAGTTTTGGGCTGCGCTTTCATTTTCGCTAGATTCTGCTTATAATTGCTTAACTCAAGTTGATCAGATGTCAAGAGAGGTAATTTATAATATGTCATTTTTATGTGGGATTCTAGCCATATTCCCAAAGGGAAAAGGATAAAATAAGGGATAGAAAGTCCCCTACAGCATGTCATCAGAACGAAAGATTTAAGGAGTAAATATATGACTAAAATCAATGACTTATATTTATCTAACATCTTTAACAAAATAAACTGTCTCAGGGTGCTTCACCGAAGTGTTAACAAACAAAATTTGATGCCAAGCCATATAAGGACACATTAGGAGAAACGATAAACGTTTGGACCAAGAGGTCAGTTTTAAGGAATATTTTGAAGGAGGTAAGAAGAGAGGTTTAAGGTGGGAATTGTAGAAGTCAGGGCTTTGTTAGTTGAAGGGACAGCTACCATCAGTTGAATGATTAAAATTTGGGATACTGAAGTCATCAAATCAGAGGAGTACAATACTTGAGAAGATTGTTTAGACTGCAGAGGATTACGGGGTAAATAGGGAAGAGTGAGCCCTGAAAGGACTTGAAGCAGTGATAAGAATTTTAAGATCCAAGTGTTGCTTAACAGAGAGTTCAGTTTAGGTTAGTGAACACTGAGGTGGTGGGTGAAAGGGGTTTGCTGCAAGTTAGCATTCGGGTGGCAGAGTTTTTTTTGGATGACCTGAGTATATGGAGATGGAGTTGTAAGAGAATGTGGGAAGCCAACCAGGAAATACTGTTTTGAATAGACAAATCTCGAGATCACAAAGGCATAGATGAGGGTGACAGCAACAAATGAGCTGAGGCAGGGATGGAGTTGGGAAAAGTCTCATCGATATTTCAGTTTAAATCTCAAAACATTTAAGCTGTTTCTTTCTTTCCATAGGTGGCAATTTTATGTCAGTTTCTCAGAGAGGTGGATTATATGACTGCTTTCAAAGCTTTACAGGAGCAAAACAGGTATAATATCCCCAAGTTTGATATGTTCTTAACACTTGTGATCAATAGACCCATCAATATGCTTATATACTGATGGGCCAGTGTCCTGTAAAATATTTTAATGAGATTACAGTGCCCTTTTTTTGTATATTTCATGGGGATTGCTACTTTGTACCTTTACTTGTACCTGAACTTGACTAGTTCCACATCTGAAGCTACTTAAAAATATTTGCATCATGTCAAGCATCTAACATCATTTTCATGAGGTTATTTCAGTAATGCACTGTTGGTTGATTTTTCTTTTTGTTGCTATCTCCCAAACAGATTTTCCTTTTTATTCCGTCCTGAGGTGATACCTCGTTTTAGGTTATAGTTTAATTGGCTTTGTTAGCCCTTTTCTATCCAACATGTTTTTCTCTGTATGTGTCAAAATCACAAAGGCAATCTGCATATCATCATTCCATGTACAAGGAGAACAACAAATGTCAGATGTTATCCAGAGTTTCCAGCAGCCCCTTCCACCCAAGGGCTTACTGGATAATGCCGATGAAGCATGGAAGTTTCGGTAGTGAATCATCTACAAAGTTAAGCAATTATATTTAATAAGGGTTGATTCAAGATCACCTTGCAGAAATGACTCTTGCTTTTGAAGGGAACAGCACAGCCCATCTGATTTTTACAAGCTGTCTCCTGACCCTAAAGCATATGACAGTCTCATGTTTCAGAAGGCAGATGTGTAGAAGACACTAATATAATGTACCACAAATATCAATCAATGTTTGCAAATAGCTTGTGACAACAAGAATCTCGATGATACCAAAATTGCACTCGACTCCACCATCGCTAAAGTTGCCCCATTGAAACCCACATTTGGAGAAATTACTCGCTGACAGGAGCAAGCCAGGGAAAGCACGGTGCCAAGCCATACTTGTGTAAGACAGATACCTGTGTGCCTGTGCTTGATGATCTTCTTCTGATACCAGCCATAGAATCAGAGAATCATAAAATTTTACAGTACAGAAGGAGGCCATTCAGCCATCATGTCCGTACCGGCTCCTGAAAGAGCCAGCTAGTTACGTTCCCCAGCTCTATCTTATGTAGCCCTATGAATTTGTCACTCTCCAATATTTATCTAGCTCTCTTCTGGAACTGTATATGAAATCCACCTCTATCACTCTCCCAGACAGTGTATTCTAAATCCTAACAACTGAGTAAAGAAGATTCTCCTCCTCTCACTCCTAGCTGTCTTGCTGACATTGTTCAAATTGTGACCCCTACTTACTGACATACCAACTTTGGAAACAGAATATCCTCCTTTACCCTGTCAAAATTATTCATAATTTCGAACAGCTCAATAAAGTCGCCTCTAATCTTCTCTGCTCCAAGGAGAATAAGACAATTTCTGTAATATTTCCTTGTATATAAAATCCTTGATTCCTGATATCATTCCAGTAAATCTCCTTTGCACACTCTTCAGGGCTTTAACATCCTTAAATAAGATATCCAGAACTGAATTCAATACTCCAAATGTGCTCTGACCAATGATTTGTAGAGGTGTAGCGTCACTTCCTTGCTTTTATGTGCTCTGCCTCTATTTATAAACCCAAGGATCCTGTAAGCTACCTTAACAACTGTTTCAACTTGCCTGTCCACCTTCAGACAATTGTGCACATGAACCCTGAGATCCCTCTGCTCCCCGGTACTCCCCTCAAATTTGTCCCATTGTGCTTGTATGAGTTTTGTGCAGAATTCTCATTACTTGAGTTCAAAAAGGCAATTGACTCCCTCGCAACAGGGGAAACACCTAGGAAGGAGCTATACCAGCTGAGTTACTTGAATATGTATGAGCCCACCTGCTGCCATACCTCTGCGACTACCACCTTTTCTGCTGGAGTAAAGAATGTGCCCCATCAGATATGTACGATGCAAGTATTCTCATGTTATACTAATACGAAGATAATCAAGGGGACGACAACAATTACTGGGGCATCTCACTCCTCATGCCACTGGAACAGGTTTTTGCCAGAAGCATTCAAGCATGGCCTGATTGACGAGCCAACAGAATATATCTGGAGACACAATGTGGTTTCAGCACTGGCAGATCCGTAGTCAACATGATCTTCTCCCTAATCAACAAGAAAAGGGCAGGAGCAGCAAATACCACTCTAACTCGTTTTCATGGACTTCAGCTCCAGCTCTGACAGCTTTGAGATCAAGAATGTGTTGAAAGAGGGACGTGTCTTAGCCAATCTTCTGGTAACTTGCCAACTTCTGCTTTCCCTACCGGTGTGGAGGGTGTGTGCCTTGCAGTCAGATGGGAAACTTCTTGACCTATCAAAACTGAAAGCTAAGACAAAAGTGCAGTGTGTCCTAATTAGAGAAATTCTATCTGTTGTTGCTGTCGCACTAGTTGCCAGACAGATGACAAGCTCCAAAGGCTCATTGCCTGACTGTCCTATGCCTATATAATGTTCTCCCTCACCATCAAAATTAAGAAAACTGTGGTTATGTGATAGCATGTAGTGTGACCAGACATGACAGCACACCACTGGAAGCAGTCATTCTGCTACTTGGATCTATTGTATCAAAACCTGTCCCTTGATGAGGAACTTAACGCATGCATTGAAAAGGTAACCTTTGATTTTTGCTTTATAACAAAACGCATAAATAAATAACAAAATTTCAATTTCTCAACATAATACTTTATATCAGTGAAACCTGGACAACCTACACCTAGTATGAAAAATGGTTCAGTGACCTTTATCTATGACATACCTTGGCATCATATGGTAAGACAAAGTCACTAATAAAGCAGTTCCCTCTAAGGCAAACATAGCAAGCATACTTTATGCTAAAGAAGGTTTCACTCAATTTAACATGTATGGAAGGTGGCCACATCCCTGAGCATATGCTATTCAGGAAGTTCGCCTGTGCTAAGAGACCTGCAGGGCACCCAAGTTTCAATTCAGAGATGTTGCCAAAAGCCCTAAACATCAATTCTGGCAAGTGGAAAGCTCTAACAACTGATGTAAATGGTGATTTCAGATGTGGGCAGGAGTTTGCCACCATGACAACATGTGGTTTTCTTAGCTCGAAAGCTGAAGTCAACCTTGTAAATAAAGTCTTAGCAGAAGTTATTCTGCATCAGCAGCAAGGGACAACTTTAGTGGCACTAGTGGACAACTTTGCCTTTCCAGATACAGCTTATTCAGCCTTCAAAAGAAATGCAGCAGATGATCTCAGCTGACCTCTCCAACCTCTGAGGCCAACTTCGCACCATCTCTTCCCGAAGAAACGATCCTAAAAATATGGATTTGCAACAGGAGATAAATGAACAGCAATCTAACATGTGAATCTTGACTAATTTCAAAAAACGTTCCTAAAGTGTGGGTCCTACCACTTCAGGTGGAGATTGGTATAGACTACAAATGGAGTGTGGTATTTTCTTCACAGGAACTTTAACCTTCCTGATTTGGAACACTTTTGTGAATTGGGAAAGAAACTGTCATGTTCCATCTAGCACCATAATGTAGCTCTTGTAGTTTTCTTGACTCTGATTGTAAACTAATAGTAGAATTCAGTACATAATAATTCTTATGAACTTCATTTGAACTTGAATTTTTAAAAGTTTTTTTTGTTTTGTCAACTAAGCTCGTTAATTGATATGTGGGAGGTGGGATCATTTAAGTGAAGAAACCACTAATAGAAATTAAACTTTCATGTAAAAGCTGATAATACGGTTCATAGCTTTTTTTTAAAATTTATTTCAGTCATGATGCAATGGATTCCTACTATGACTACATCTGGGACATCACTATCTTGGAATATTTGACACGTATCCTTTCTATTTTTTTTTCCTGAGATTACTAATCTTTAGGTAACCAAACAGGACAGTTATTACTTGGAAAAACTGCTTAGAATCCAAATTAGTTCAATATAAGTATCTGCAATCAATCACTTAATTTTTTTTTCTTTTATCATGCATAGTGTGGAAAAGAGTGGAAGGAAGGGCTTAATTGTTATAAATGTAGTGCTTAAGTGCTGTGTTTATCCTTGCAAATTTTGTAAAGTACACATTTCAGATTTGTTTATCTAGATTTTCTAATTTGTTTCTGTGGGCACGGTTGGCTTGGCCAGCATTTATTTCCCATTCCTAATTGTGTGGCAGAAGGTGGAGGTGAGTTAATTTCTTGAACTGCTGCAGTCTTTCAGGTGTAGGTATATCCGCAGGCCTGGGAGTGGTGGTGCATTGTTCAAAAGCAGCTGGTTGGAATTCCAGGATTTTGACCAAGCAGCACTGAAAAATCAATGATTTAGTTCTGATTAGGATAGTATGGGCTAAGATGTGAGCTTGCAGTTCATGGTGTTTCCATGCTTTTCTATCCCTTGGCCTTCTGGATGGGAGAGGTTGTGAGCTTGGAAGTTGCTGTTGAAAGAGCTGTGAGTTGGTGCACACTATTTACACCATGCATTGCTAATAGACGCAGTCAAACTGAAAATGGAGTGTACAGTATTCTATCACATTCCTGGCTTGTGCCTTTTAGATGGTGCTGAAACTCTTCCTGTGGATGTACCTACGTTTTACAGACTGCAGTAGTTCAAGGCTACTCATCACCACTACTTCATTGGTAATTAGGAATGGGCAATAAATGCTGGCCTTGCCAATGATGTCAACATCTATGAAAGAATACTTCTTTTTAAAAAATTGTTTAGCAATGATTAGTTTATGTAAACTTTCACTTAAATTCTACAATTGACTGTTGGGCTGGATTGAGTGAAGACAATAAGGGTCTTGCCTGCTGACAGGTGCCCAGCGTCTCTTCCTTTGGGAAAAACGTAACAAATTATCTGGATAGCAGCAGGTCTTCCTTGGAATGCAAGACCCCGGTTTGGAAATCCTCCCTGCTTAGAACTGCCAGCCAATCAAAGGCTGGTAGCTCTACCAAATGGCAGCACCACCAGCAAGACAGTGGTACAACATTCACTCCTGGCCTAGTTTCATCGCTAGCTTCAGGTGAGTGAGGTTGAAGGGTTCGGCAGCAAGAGTGGCTCACGGCAGGTCATGTAGTACTTTTTGAACATGCCTCCATTCCTCCCGGCAGCCTGCAAGAAACCCCCATAGATTTGTTAGGCATGACCCCCACATGGTAAGCCCCAATGCTGGGTGAATACTGACAGCATACCAATGAGGCCTTCAAGTTGACCTTAATTGCCCATTTAAGAACCTCAATTGGCTGTGGGTTTGGAAGGTTCCCCTTCCCATAATGGACTTGATTAGGTTGAGATAGGAAGTCAGTGAGGTCCCCTTCCACCAATCTTGCCATGGATGAGGGCATTAAATTCCACCCATTATTAATCATATGCTAATACATTGTTGGAAATATTGAACCTGGTATAATTCATGTTATCTGAGAATCCTGTTTCTCTTTGCTGGAATATCAGTTTCATTTTTATGTGTGATACTTAAAATGAAGTGCTGTCTTGGATGAGATAATAGGAAGTGCCGATGCTGAAGTCTGAGATAACAAGGTGTAGAGCTGGATGAACACAGCAGGCTAAGCAGCATCAGAGGAGCAGGAAAGCTGACATTTCGGGTCTGGACCCTGAAGAAGGGTCCAGACCCGAAATGTCAGCTTTCCTGCTCCTCTGATGCTGCTTAGCCTGCTGTGTTCATCCAGCTCTACACCTTGCTGTCTTGGATGATGTGTTAAACCAAAGCCCCACCTAGCCTGTTAAGCCGATGTAAAGATCCTTTGAGGTCATTTCAAAGAAATGCTGATGAATTCTCCTGTGTTCTAACTAATACTTGGCCTGTAACCAACTTCATTGTTTTTTATTTGGTCATGATATATTGGCATCACAGGCTAGGCCAAAAAGTATTAACCATCCCTAATTAACCAGAGTTTGAGTCAATATTGCTGTGGGCTGGGAGTCGTCACTTGGATGCCAGACCAGGTAGGTTTACAGATTTCCTTCTCTAAAGAACATATGTAAGCCAGAAGGGATTTTTAAAAATGAATTAAAATTTGACCATCTGCCCTGATGGGGTTTGAACCCATGTCCCCAGAACATTGGCCTGTGGTTCCCATTTATCAATTACTAATCCACTGACATTTATCACTACACCAATTCTCTGTCCTCATCCACTTACCATTAAACCAGGTTGTGTGAACATTATTACAAATAGCCAATTCATTAAAAAGCAAGCTGCCACAAATCTATGTTGTCTGTGTTTCAATGTCACTTCAGAAGTATTTCATTGGCAGCTGGCTTGATTTGTGGAAGGTCGTTCATAACTGCACATCTTGCTCTTTTTTGTTGTTGTTGTTAGGCCTTTAGGTCCATTTTATGAATGTGCTTTAAGGATGCATGTGGTTACAACTGATTTTAAAAATGCATCTGTTCTTATATTTTCAAAATAATTTTCAACTTAAGCTTGTTACAGATTGTTGCCCAATTTAAGATTGAAAAACTTCATAGGATTTAAAGCCTTTTTGATATGAGAAATGCAATGTTATTTACACTGAAGAACTGCTTCTTGAAATATTTAAGTGATTTTGTTAATGGTTTCCATTGACCTTGAGGTACCATGCCATCCATGGCAAAACTGGATACCAGTTTTTGATATTTCTAAATTTAAATTATACATAAAAAACAGAATTTGATTCACGTGTCTACAGATTCCTGCATGTTTACCTAACTCACTTAGTCATTTGTTCCTGACTAGGCGACAAATTTGGATGGCAGCAAAGAATGGATAGGAAAAGAATAAGGTGGTTGGATTGTGTAACTACAAACATTTCTTCAAAATTGCATTTTCACACTTTTTTGGTCTTGAATTAACAGCTCAAAGCACGAGAAATCATTGAGTAAAACATCTTAAGATAGTTACAATGTTTTGAAAACAAAGGTGTTTTTCAAGATTGAAATAAGAAATTGTAAATATTTTTGCTAAATTAACTGTAGAGATAAATATCTGCGTGACCTTGAGTTGTAATGTTGGTTTTACCTTTGAGAGAGAACGAGCTCCAAAATGCCATCTTTTGCTCATTGGTAAGTGATAAGTGAACACTAATGCAGACGTTAAAACTGACTTTTAGCTGTTTGAATACTTAAGTTTGTAGCCATCAAATGGAAAATTGCCTTGACAATTTTCATAGACATCCATCACAAAAGGGGAGAAATTGACAAAAGGCAAATAGCAGTAAGTTAAAGTATGCTGGTGTATTACATTCCTTCTGATGTATCCACACAACATGGATTTGTATCCACACAACATGGATTTAGCTCACTGGACTAGTGAACCTTTGCCAGTGTTTCCTGTAAAAAAGAGTCATAAGGTCTGTTTCCATGCTGTACAACTCCAGTCCAACTTGTCCATGCCAACCAGATATTCTAAATTAATGTAGTCCCATTTACCAGCATTGGCCAATATCCCTCAAAACCCTTCCTATTCATGTTTTCACCATGTTTGATACTTGTAAAGTAGTAGTTGGAGGAAGCACTGAGAATGACCAGATTTGAACCCATTTTCCCAGAATATCAGATCACAAGGCGTACAGCTGGATGAACACAGCAGGTCAGGCATCATCAGAGGAGCAGGAAAGCTGATGTTTCGGGTCTGGACCGTTCAGAAAAATTCCTTCCCAGAATATCACCCTAGATTACTACTCCACTGTCATTACTACAACACCACCATCTTCCTGCAGAGTGCAAGAGGCCATTCCAGGAGCATTACCAGGCATACCTAAAAATGAGCAATCAACCTGGTGAACATACAGAAAAGGTCCACTTGCATACCAAATAGCATAAGCAGCAACTGACAGACCGGGCTGAATGATTCCACAGTGGTCCACCTATAATCACAGTGAATGGTGGTGGACAATTAATGACCTCACTGGAGGAGGAGAAGGCTCCACAAACTTCCCTATTCTCAATGATGAAGGAACCCACCATATCAGTGCAGAAGAGAAGACATAAGCACTTACAGCAGTTTTCAGCCAGAAACTTTATCCATCTCTTGCAGAAATCCCCAGATACCAAATTTTAGCCAATTCAGTTCACTATAAAAACTGAAAGTAGTACAGAAGTTGTAAATCAAAAACAAAAACAGAAGTTGCTTGTGGAGAGAAATCAAAGTTAACGTTTAGGGTCCAGTGACCCTTCCTCAGAATTGCTGCAGTTCCCCCCCACCCAATACTCATGCCAGGTAGCAGTGTTCAAGAAAAGAATACAGAATACTACCTTATTGGGTAGGCCTTAAGTGATCTGTGACTTGAGAGATAGTGTGCACTTTGGTCATCGGTACTTGCCCATTGTGGAGGAGATCAAGACTTCAAAAATATCTGAGCAGAAGACACTTTTGTAGATGTCAGTAGGTCCAATGTACCTAAGATACTCCATCAAAACTCAGCCTTCATCTATTCTCTGCCACATGTTTGTACTTTGTCACCTTACTTAGTTTCTCACAGCCCAGAAACTCGTTAGAATGTTTTGAATAGTATACGTTCTGTATCAGATATATTTGGATGTTATATCTCTACCAGATATGAATACACAAAACAAAACCTAATATTTACCAGAGGCTGTAAGGATGGCTACTGTGAAATAATTAAAAACACGACTGCAGAGGTGATTGGAGAAAAGATTGAATACTGTACTACAATCAATCTGTTTGCCTTTAGGTATTTATATTTCACCTTTAAAAAAGGAGAGGAAAATCCACATACTTTATTACCGTCTATTGAAGTTTCAAATTATTTCAACACCAAAAAAAATTTGAATTTATTTAGCACTGGGGATCCCATTTATAGGTCACATTTGATTCAACATGCAGCCTTGAAATGACAACAAGTGTATGTTTTCTTTAAGTAAGATTGAAATACCCTGAGCATGGTTCAGTATAAATTAGCTACTGTTTGTCAGTTTTACATTTTTCTTATTTCCTTTAAAAATAAATCTTCCCTAGATCAAAGCAATTGGCCAATCTGAGCTCAACTCAAGTAACCCTGAAGAGGTTTTACATCTAGCTGCACAGAAGAGAAAAAAGAAGTTCCTACAAGCCATGGCAAAACTTTACTTTTAACATGCTGTAATTAAACACCTGAAAGTATCCAGTGGGTAATAAAAGTGCTTAAAAGATGCTATAATTGCTTTCAGCATTTGAATAATTCTGTTAAGATATTTGGCTGTTTTGGGACTTTGTTCATACAGAATTTCTATCTACAGTGTAGATGTGAAAAATGAAAATTACAGTACATTCATTAAAATTTCACAGCACCTAGTATTTATTTCATAGTACTGCATCTTAATACATACAGGTAAAGACATCCAACTAGCATTTAGCTTATGTTTTGAATGTTCATATTTTCTGAGCGCATTGAAATGTATTTTTATAGTGGTGTTGGATAGCTATGTATCAGTAGCTATGTAATTTCCTGTACATTTTTTACAAAGCTATTTACAATACATTAAAATCATGTAGGTTTCTCTTTGGCAGTGAGATTTCATTTTTTCAGTTGTTTAATCCACCTGCGTGAGGCACAAATTGCTGTGAAATGCTAATAGTTTATATATCAACTATATAACATCTTATTGTACATGGGTTCCATTTAGACATTGCTGTATATACAAATTAGAGCTCAAACTGAACTTTATCCACTTGCATATCTGCACAACATATGTATGTAGTTGCAGATTACATCGCCCTCAGCAAGAAACCACTACCCCATTTAATCATATGCTTAGAGTCCAGTATTTAACCATCCTGAAAAGAGAAAAACAGCACCAGTACAGGTCCAAATAATGTAGCCCTGCATTTTAAAGTTAAAGTACAAAAACTGTATGTACAATTAATTACAGTGCCAGCATGCTTCAAAATCGTTCCAAACATTGTGTACATATTGGAATGTAGTTGAAAGTAGATTAAGATTTCCCTACACTGACTGACATTTCATCCACGTGAGCATTTATCATTCAGTCGTAGCTTAAAGATGTTATGTAAAAACATACATCCTTGATGAATGAGGTCCTTCAACAATGTGCTGAACTATAACTGAAATATTAGGAGGAGAAAGACAAATGAAAGCTGGTTGTAAGATGTCTTCCCCCTCCTCTGTAAACATGAAAGGCAACTCTTTGCTCCCTCAGATTCAATCTCCCATCTAAAATATAGTTTTGCAGTTTCAGTTTCATAAAACTTTCTGCCTAGATTTCAAATCTCACAGCTGTTTTCTGGAATTTCTGATGAAACTGTCCACTGGCTTTTCAACTCCACAACAGAATTAACAGGCTTTCACATTTCTTCTGAATAAAGTAATTGTAATTAAATGGATTGGCACAAGTCACCTTGATGTGCAGATTGAATAGAACATATGGTTACCATCAAATGACCTTCACTGGCTCTTGTTAGTTATTCCCCTTCCCCAAATAGTCTCAATAGGTTAGTCTCTTGGGCAGAAGCAAAGTGTTAATCTGATGCTAGTACCTAGCTTGCTTACTCTTTAAAACAAATTAAAAACATCAGATGATGCATTGCTGTAGTTTTTTTTAATAAAGTTAAAAACTTTGGTCTGCTCAAGTTTCTAGATACCTTTTATGGCAGTAATATAGCCCACGCTTACAGTATGCAATTCCACAGTTCTCCAATACTTTGTCCTAGCTTCTTTCTCTTCCAGTATGTTCATCCATTCAATATGTTGAACTAGGCAATGGTTTCTCAGTGCTTTTAGGTGGAGTCAAGATTCCTCCTATAGACACAGGGGATAGCCTTGCAGTACGCTCTGCTTTCTTAATGTGTGCTTCCTCCTAAAAGGAAGGAAAGTAGTTGTAGGTTTTTGAAGTAGTGATTCTAGATAGCATTTACAACAATAAAAATATATTCATCCTTTTACTGCAAAGTGAACATCATGTGTAAAGCTCACAGACCAGACAAGAAAGAATTATGGATGGTAAAAACACATTTGAATTTTTTTCACTGGAAAATATTCTTCACTTGCATTTACTTAAGCTCAGACTCGGCAACTGACCATGGTTAATGTATCTCAGTATTTTAATGATCTTCAACTGGAAGAATAGGGGGCTAAAATCTGATAAGTCCCCTGGACCTGATGGGCTACATTCTTGGACATTTAAAAAAAAAACTATCTACCAGAGGTGGTAATCTAAGAATCCTTGCAGTTTGGAAAACTGCCAATGTAACACCTTTTTTGTTTTCCCTTTATAAATGAAAACACAGGTAACTATAGGCTGGTTAGCTGAACATCTGTTTTTGGGAAAATAAGACAGTCTATATAGAGGATGTCATAACCAAACATTTAAAAACAGTATGATTAAGCAGATCACAAAGGGGAAAAATCATGTTTGACAAATTTAATAGAATTTTGGGTTAACAAGCAGTGTGGATGATGGGGAAGCAGTGGATGTAATATATTTGAATTTTCAGAAGGTATGATAAGGTACCACACATTAGGCTATATAATAAAGGTAAGAATCCATGTTGGAAATAGCCAATTCTTGCTATCCATGCTAATATACTAACAGAAAACAGTGATTGGATAATAAAGGGGACATTTTTGTGGATGAACGGAGAAGCTGAAATTACTTAAATGGAAAAAGGCTGCAGAAAGCTACAGCTCAGAGGTATTTTGGAATCCTCATGCATCATTAAAAAAAGCTAGTACACAAGTTCAGTGGCATTACAGAAGGCAAATGGAATGTTGGCTTATTTCAGAGGGAATGGGATATAAAAATATGAAAGTCTTGCTAAAATTATACAAGGCACTAGTGAGATCACCCTTTACTAAACCTTCACCTCTTAAAATGCACCTATGACCTACTACTTTGACCATCCAGCACATTAGTACATCCAGTGGCTTGGTATTAAAGAAACAAAAACAAATTGCTGGAGGAACTCAGCAGGTGGCAGCATCTGTGGGAAGAAAGCAGAGTTTTAATGTTGAGAGTCTGGTGACTTCTTCAGAAGATAAAAGTTAAGGTGAAGAGTCACTGGACTTGAAATGTTAACTTTCTTCCCATAGAACCTGCTAGACTGATTTGTTTCTATTCCTGTTGAGCACCATTAAGATAGGGTTTGTTCATTAATTGACATGCAAAACCTTCAGTATTTCCCTGACAAAGAATTAAGGCTACTGTTTGGAATAGGCAGCTTTGTATATGTAAAATCAGTTCGACAAGGTCAGAACAACAACAGGTTACTAATAAAAACAAGATGGGTGTATCCCCCAAGATAACTTTCTTAAAACAATCCTCTGCATTTTAGTAGACAAGTGAAGTTAAAAATAACTCACCAGCAATTCCAAGTACTTAGTATGCGTCTGAATGTTATGTCTTTCGTCATCTGCCACTTGCTTGAAATCTCTTAATTTTAATGGATCACCTTCATTCAGGGTTTTAGCAAAAGGGACCATCCAGTTAAAACATGCAGAAATGCTGTCCCATTCCAGGCCTAGAAACATCAAAAATCATTTGTTTGTAGAAAAATTATTAATTCGGAATCAACTCTTTAAAAAATGCAACATTATCATTTTGATGATTTTATAAAGACTAGAACTTGTCACACTAAGGATCGCAATAGCTATGCGAAAGGAATCGTTCATTATCTGGAATACCTTTACCACTATTTCTCATGCTCACTGAAATCCTTAAGGTTGAAGTCAATCCAACTGCATGACACTTTGATTTATAGCGCCCCAGGGTTGTTTTGAGAGTTTGGCCAAAATGTTATGTTGGCAAGGATGAAGATCAAGTATAGTAGGAACTGCAGATGCTGGAGAATCTGAGATAACAAGGTGTAGAGCTGGATGAACACAGCAGGCCAAGCAGCATCATAGGAG